TCAAAAACACTTTTTTTTAACCTTTTCACATTTTTTAAAAATCGGTATCACTCCCATGCAAGGCAGTACAGCCATTAGCACGTAAAGAGTTACAAGTTATGGAAAGATTAGGATCCTGTATCGTGAATGCTTGGAAGGAGATAACAATAGCTACCACAGAGTGGTCTGAGTTACCAAGATGGCAGTATTGTGAAGCTTGGCAAGAGCAGGGAGAAAAGGTAAGAAATAGATCCAATAGAGAAGCATGTTGATCAGTTTGGCTTGTTACAAACTGAAGTTGTGAATTCGAGGAATTACACAAAAATTAATTAGTGAGGACATAAATGCTGTCGGAAAATCATTTACAAAATTGATGTCAATCCTATTTGGGAATTTGAACCCAATGTTTATAACACGATTATTTTTTAAATCGGTACCACCCCATGCAAGGCAATAAAGCCACTAAGCCACAAGGGATTACAGAGCGTGGAAGAATTAGGAACAGAAACATCAAAAATGAGTGGAAAGAGGAAAGAGTAATCAGGAGGATAGTAGATAGCAATTGACATTGCATTTATATTTTGGCAGATCAAATTTAGCGAGAAAGCATGGAGCCGGAAGGGAGTTTCATAAGCAAGAAGTACGAGAAAATAAAATTTTAGCATAGAACTTACAGCTGCATCTAGCCAGCTCAACTGTAAATTGATTCAGATCTTGACACCAGTCTAGTACTGCGCATAAATTCAAAAAGTTTAGGTACCACAGTAAAGAGTTCGTCCGAACAGATACCATGAAAGTATTTATAGAAAAGACACATAGGGGAAACCTTGCGGCGATGGGAAAGTGACTGAAACCGAGCCGCCAGATCAGGACCAATAATATTGCTGATTCTTGTTTGGAGTTTATCAAGGAGCTCAAGGTAAATAGCAGAGACACCGGGACATATGTAGCAGCGATATTCTAAGCATGGACGAATGGTAAACTTATAGATATGTAAGATAGATTCTGGATAGAAAAAATGTCTCACACGGCACAGTAAACCAACTTTCTTAGCCTTTGACTTACAATGGCTTTCTACTTCATGTCATCTGAGAACGTTAGCTCGAGAAGACGCAACAAGTCACTCTCCTGGGGGGTTAGCATCAGCCATGTTTATGGAAGCAGAGAAAACTCTAAATTCTTATTTAATTTTTTGATTTGATTTGTTTTGTTTTTTTACGGCATATCAACCTCAATGGATTATTTAATGCTTACAACATTTTTACAATAGATTCGTATGAATAGAATATATAGTCTTTGCAAGGAAACAGTTTCATTGATATGCTTCTGTAAAGAGGGTTGTTGTCGAGAGTCTGCTTTCATTTATGTATTTTTTTCAGGTACACAGTTTGTAGAGAAATTGATTTTGACATTCTGGTATTGTTTATAATTTTTGAGAAATGCTATCATTCACTTTCACTTTCACTTTCTCCGAACAGTTCATACATATTGTTTGTACTATAATATTTTTGTCTTAAGAGAGCAAGATCTGAGCCCTCGGTTAATATATGTTTAATAGTATATATTGTTTTATATGTTTAGCATACTGGTTGATCTTTTTTTATTTAGTAAGTACGAGTGAGTTATTCTCGTATGGCCAATGCATACCACTTCTTCCTTGCGACTTCCATTCTCCTAGTTTGGGCCGGATTTTGAAGAGTATTGTGTGGGTTATCGTCCCAATACTGTAGCCATTCATTTTGAATGCATTTATTAATAACTTTCTTAAAATCTGTGTATAGGATTTTGATCTTTGTATCCACATTCGCATCTAAAGCCAAATTGGCTGCTTGATGCGGTTCATTATTACCTTTATGTAGTAGGAATCCAGCATAGTTTGATGTCTTTATGCTTGTTAATAATAATGCTCATTTTGCATATTTTCACAAATGAGTTGGTGGGTTGTTTCATTCAAAGCCAATAGGACGGATAATGAGTCCGAAAAAATTACAATTTTTTCTTGTTTGCTCTCTGAGATAATGTTGAGAGCTAGCTCGATTTTATAAGACTCTGTGGTGAAAATTGAGCTTTCCTTTGGGTGGTTCCTTTTTTGGTAATATTTTGGCTTACTGCCGCACATCCTATCTTTTCTTAACATTTTCATCCGTCTGTATAGATGGGTTTATGGTTAGGGAAGTTTGCCGATATATCTTTTTATGTATTGTAGTGTCAGTTTAGTGCGCCGTAAATGTGGAAGTGTTTCATTAGCTGCTGTGTACAAGCTGTCTATTGGGGATGCTTTAAAAGTCCCAAGTACTAACCTGAGGCCTTGGTGATAGGTTACATTGAGAATTTTTTCGTACGACTTTCTAGCCGCCCCAGAAATGAAACTAGCATAATCTAGTTTTGAGCGAAATAGTCATCTCTATAATTTGATCAGTGTTGGTCGATCTGCGCCCCATTCAGTATGGGCCACTAGCCGGAAAGTAGTTCTCAAATTTATTTTACTTTGGGGTACATCATTCCTAACTAGGATAGATGTACAGTCAGATGTACGAAGCCCAGTGTCATGTGCATGGTTGTATTGCTGATATTCTTTTATATTTACATTGTCATTTTGCTTAAGGAATGTTTCCTGAAGGCAAACAACTGCCGGTGATAGATCTGTTACTAACAGAAGCGGTTCATTTTTATTTGCCTTTATTCCACTGCAGTTCCATTGAATTATCTTATGCATGGCTGTTTATACGTTTTCGGTCTTTAACTTATGTGGTTTTGATTTCTTTTTTCTAGGTTTTCATTTTGGAAGTTTTAGCCATTTGAGAGTTTTGGCTTTCAACCTCCATCTTTTCTATTTCATCAAATCGGTTTTGCCTAGGAATTTGGTTGTTGTGGATTTCCGGCTTTTCTTTGGCTGATTCTGTTCTTGATAAGTTTTTCAGCCTGTCTTTCCTGGATTTTGGGGGACGGATAGGAGATCGCTGGGCCCTTTGTTTATCAGGAGATTTGATATTTTTGGTAGAAGTGGTCGTTTTCCTGTTTGTTTGTCCTTTATTTATTATTTCAGTTTTTTTCATTGTCCTTTCATGGTTCAGCCTGCGCCATTTCCTTGGAATGTAGACTTTTCAGGTAAGTTTGAAATTTGGGCCAGTCATTTCGTTCCAAATGTACGATCTTCTCAATGAGGGCTCTTTATTTGTCAGGTTGATCAGCAGTATTTGTAGTCTTGTTTTCCGTTACTTTTGCGTAGGAAAGACCTTTCATGTAACCTTCTACTATCTGCTTTGCTTCTGAAAATGAAATGTTTATTTTACTTCAACAATTTTTCTTTCCCTTTTCCAGGAATCGCAAGTTCTTAAGTATGCTGGATGACTTTCCTTGCAGCATATCTTATTTCATCGGTACATTCGTTTTCAGCATGCTCTGAATCCCTTTGGCCACTTCTTCCACATGTTGGCCGACTCCTGCAGCTATCTTTATGATGTCCAAATTTTGGGGACTTAAAGCATCTTAGTGAAGCAAGGATATATTGGCTAAATATTATACCCTATTTTGGGGTGGCTGGGTGTGTTGTTTTCAGGTGTGCCAAAAGTAAGGGTATATATGTCAGTTATAACTGTTTCCTATTTTCTTTTAATTGAGATTATATGGTAATCTTTGACCACTTGGCTTCCTAAAGCAGATGTAATTTCCTCGGGTGACAACTCTTTACTTCTAATAACTCCCTTAGAAGTATTCAGTCTTGCATGAAGAAAGGTTTTAATTTTGATATTATGATAGTTTTTTTTCATCTTTATTATATCTTCTGCGTGTTTCCTATGCCCCACCTCAACCAGCAAATTGCCATCTCTCAATTTTCTAACTGTTTTAAGATTAATTCTACTGAATAGTACCTTTTCAATTAATAAAGGGGAAAGTTTTGCCAGCGGAGTTTCTTATAGGGACGTGAGACAAAAATCTTGGAAATTCCATATTAATTTCTTTTTCAGAGTCAGACCTTCTTTAGGCTTTTTATTTTGATTATTCATAATTTTTGTGTATTAAGATTCACTGCCTATGGTCCCCACCCACATTTGGATGTATCAAGGGGGAAACACAGTCGCTTTGACAGGGCTACACAAGCCGGAGAGACATTCTGAACTTCCGTTAAACAATCTGTTGCACTTCCCAAATAAGTGTACAAACTGGCATATTCATAGCCATGTCTAAGTCTCGATCTCTTCCAACCGATTCACCCTCAGCCACCGCCTTCTAATGCCTATAAATTGGATAAAGATGGTATTTTATTCCGGTGTATATTTGGGGTATTGTATTTAGTTATAAAGTACTCCATAAATTGATATAGTTATAGGCGCTAGGGTTTGTTATGAACTGTCGATTTATCAGCCGACAGCCTGTCTAGTCCAAGTAAGGGCCAAAGTTGTGTGTTGGGAATCAGAAGTAACTAACCCTGAGTCCTGGAGCCCTGAACCACCAGGATCCTGTACCCAGACATTACGGGTCGCCACCCACGGCAAACAAGTGGCCTCATTGCGGGGGTGGTCTTACCTCTCTACGAGGTGCAGTCGGCGTATTCTGACGTCCCAGCCGACAGGGCAGTTTATTTATTTTTTTTTTTTTTTTGAGACACTGTCAACCACAGTATCTTCACAAAAGTAACGCTTGCTTGGTTAGTTATTCGGACTGAAAACATACAGCCTTAAACGAATCATTTTTCTCTCCGATAAGATAAGAAACTGAATACGAAAACATTCATCTGTGAAAGAACAGAGAATGCTTTGATGAAAATCTAATGAACAGAACAAGGAAGATAAGAACGACGCTAACCGTCAGCAGGGAAAATCTTTGCACCTTCTTTTGCTAAAGAGTTCCACTGAAATAAAGTGGAGCGATTATATTGAATCGATTGCTAGGTGTATTGCTAGGAAATTTGGTTTCACTGTGTCGTTTGGTTGATTGTTCGTGTATAAACGTTAAAAAATCATTAAAAACAAATTTCCGTGAATAAAAAGTCTTATTAAAACACTGATTTATCTTTGCAGCAATCCGAGGGTCCCAAATCAGTCCAAGCAATGCTTCGGGAGGCCCTCATCATCGCAGCTTGTCGTAATAATTTTCTGATTGTGAAGATGTTGATGGTGCGTGGCGTCACGTTGGACATACCGCACGAATACCTCTGTCTGTGTAAGGCGTGCAGCGAAAGTCGGAACGCAGACTTTATGACCTTCACCAACAATCGGCTGGACGCGTTCCGCGCCATTGCTAGCCCCGCTTACATTGCGCTCACTGAACCCGACCCAATCATGGCAGCGTTCCTACTCAGCGATAAATTCCGGAAAACGGCTGAAATCGAAACAGAATACAAGGTAATTACCAGAAACATTAGCATATAAAATTTCGAAGTAAATGAAGTAGAAACACACCCACACACATATCTATCTATCTATCTATCTATCTATCTATCTATCTATCTATCTATCTATCTAAAAAACTAAAACTATTTGTGCAGTATTCATAATTAATTTTATTAAGGGTTGGTTTCAATTTTTTATTAGAAAAAAACAACACCCTGATGATAACATTGTGCTAATGTTGAAAGTACTCGGAATAAATGAATATGTATCAACATAGTAATTTTCTCTCTTCATTTAATAAGGATACTAAAGAAAATCGTCCTTAAATATGAGAGGATCCTACTGAAAATAAGTAAACAAAACTTGTCTAAATTATTCAATGAGACGTGTCTTAATATATATATATATATATATATATATATATATATATATATATATATATTTTTATTTAAAATAAAATTTAAACACCACCCAAAAATCTTTAAATATACAAATAGAAAAAAATGCCGTAAGAATTTTTGCCGTTAACAATAAAATTTTAAAAAAATCGAGACAACATGCATTTAACGGATGTTAGATTTCATTGAAAAATACATCCCTACCAACTACCAAAACGTAACTAATAACTGATACATCAAATTACAGACATAATGAACACGCAGTCACCCCTTGTCTAGTGGAAGTGGATTTATCTGTAACCTTGGAAACGTGAATTATGATTTTAGCTGTGTCTTTAAAACCCAGTAATTTTAAAAGCTACTCCAAAATTCGCTTAAGGATGAAATGGAACTAATGTCTTTAATTTAATTACAAAATTAAATTGGGAGCTTTTAGCTTCCATATTTGAAACATGGTTAGAATTGTGTAGCGAAAAAAAAACATATTTTAAATCAATTAATTTATAATATTAATGCTCTGTAAATTTACATTGAGCACTATTTTGTAAAAATAAAAATATTTATAAAAACACCGGATTATATATCTTACTGTTCTTTCTTTATATATATATATATATAATTAAGATATGTATCCCAGTCAAAACAACATTTTTTGACTGCATCTACAAACAGTCGTCAGTCCCTCCTACCAGGATTAAATCAGCAACCCTTAAGAAACTACTACTCGCCTGTACTAAAAAAGCTCCATTCTACGATCATAATGGTAACACTTACATTAATGGAGCCAGTATGTGAGAACAATTAGGTTCTGCCTTCTGTAACTTTTACATATCACAATGTTGAAAAAAAAATATGTTCGAAAAAGCCACAAGTCTACAGAAGGTATGATGACGACATTTTTGTTTTGACAAAAAATAAGGACGAAATTATAAATCTAAAATGAAGTTTCGAAAAAAACTCCGGATTAAAATTTACATATAAACTCATGGTTAATAACAATATATATATATATATATATATATATATATATATATATATATATATATATATATATATATATAAAAAAGGCTTAAAAAGAAAACAGAAAAAAACAACTCCGGAAATAAAAATAGAATTTAGAGAGAGTGTAAGTAGGAGAGTGTGGGACGATTGTTAGACCTATGGAATATTAGTGTTTAAGCCTTTTTATTATATCCTTACTCTGTCCTGGGCATTGAGTTCTACCTCTTGGAATTTTTTATTAAAAAACTATACATGTATGTGTATGCACCTATGTATATATATTTATATATTTTGCATATGTATGTGTATATTTACCACTAATATTATCAATATCTCTCTCTCTCTCTCTCTCTATATATATATATATATATATATATATATATATATATATATATATACATACAACGTGTGAAAAGCACGTGCGACGAAAAAAAAGGACAAATACATACATACATATATATATATATATATATATATATATATATATATATATATATATATATATATATATATAGATGTAAATATCGATATACATACATATATACATGTATCTATATGCATATATATATTTCTTATTATGTTTCTTCAATGTTATTTTAGTGGATACTCGTATTTTAGCAGACAACCAGTCTACGAGAAAGAAAGCTTTGAATTCGAAACTGTGAACAAAGCAATGGGAAATTATTCCACATTCTTTCCCTTGAATATATACCAATTCACAGATAATAATAAAAACAAGGGAACTATGGAGAGTTATGATCACCTATATCCTGAGCGTCGGGGTACATAAAAGAAGCAGAAAGATTAAATACATGGAGCATTTTCAAATAGAACTCATATTTTAGTTCCTTTTTATAATGATAATGGCATGAATCTGTCTATGGTTTAAACAGCAGACTAGATAGGTACTAGTCTACTCCAGTCTAAATTAAGTGCATTCTTCTCAGAGATCAGCAGATCATCTACATTTTTCGTGGTGTTTCCATAAACCGTAGTATCATCTGCATATATATTTACTAATGATCTGATAACGTACTTAGGCAGAACGTTAACATGCACCAGAAAAGGGACAGAACCAAGAAGAGAGTCTTGAGGTTGCCTGCATTGATTTCAGGGGTCATCAATGACACTCATGGATTTACCTGATAGGAAGGACTTCATAATTAAAAAGACGTTTCTAGAGACGCCATAGATGGAAAACTTGTGTAGCGACATCTTGTCAAAGGCCTTCGAGATATCTAAGACGATCGCTCGATTTATTATCAAGCACTTCACTGATTCTAAGAATAATGATAGTTAAAACATCAGTAGTGGACTTAGAGGAGTGAAATCCATACTGTTTGTCACTCAGGATAATGTTTCTTTTAAGGTGATCGACAAATTTATTGTTGATGATAACCTCAAAATTTGCTGATGACAGTAAGGAGGCTGGTGAGGCGATACTCCCATAAACCGTGGTTTCATCTACGAGAAATTTGAGAATGTTTTTTAGGTAGAGCGTTAATATATAGCAGAAGTATGGTAAAACTGATTTTAGTGCCTTGTATCGATTTCATGGACTCCCGAGGACTGGCCATTAACAACGATCTTCAGGGATCTACCCCATAGGAAGGGCTTCATAATTGCAAAGACTCTCCTAAAATGTCATAGCTATGGACTAGCAGCCCGTCTATACCACCTTTATACCCCAACAAGACACGCGCCTACGCAATTACAGAGTTATCAACATCTTAAACAATACCCCGCCGATATGCTCCTTCCATCGCCTCAGCTATCGCCAAAAACTAATTCAGCCATTTGCTCTAAAGAGCTGGAAATATAATTCGTTTGAAGCGGTAACGGTAGCAGTCTTTGACGAGTTAATAGCAATATTTTCCGGCCTTGGCGAGGTGCAGTAACTGGTGTTGCCTTTGTTGGTCGACTATGACGAAACGGTATGCTGTGTACACTGGACAGTGCGACGAATGATGCGTTTGAGCGGCACGAGCGATGATTCCATATTTCCATTCTTTGAAAGATTACCATCCTTGTCAGTCGCTAGCGATTTCTTGAGTCACCGGTGATCGTCTGTCGCGGATGTCTGTCTGAAAGTAACATAATCCTATTATGGCCAGGCTATTGCTGATCGAAAACAAACCTAGAGCAGTTACGACATTGAACGAAAAGTGATATGCCTTTCCGCCACCCACACCCACAAATCAGTCCATTATCAAGCACTTTTAAATCATGTCTGCATCACATGGCTTCCACAGCTGCACTACTTCATTCTCTATTATGTCATACATAGGTCATCCGTATGAGAATATTTCTACAACTGAAATATGGCAAAATCATCCAGTGCACTGATGTCTCTAATATTTTGTTACATTAGTCCATATATATATATATATATATATATATATATCAGTATTATATATATAGCAAAAAGTAAAGAACAGTAAGATACATAATCCGGTGTTATTACTGATATTTTTATTTTTACAAAACAGTGCTCAATGTAAATTTACAGAGTATAAATATTATAAATTTAAGTGCACTTAAAAGACACCAATAAAACACCTACAGTAAAATGGAAATTAATAAGAAAAGCTAGAATATGTAGGTCATGTCCCATGTCCTTTGTGCATACGTGAGAAACTATATATCATTAAGTTCATAAAAAATAAAAAATTACTGAATCATAGACATGAAATAGCTATTCTTTGCCGACATTGTAAAAAATTATTCTTAAATAATATTTGAAAAAAAAGCGTATCTGGTAATATACATACTTATATTTGATATGTAATAATTTGAAAAAATTAAGTAATTCTATTATATTTATTTGTTTTAAAAAGAAATATGATCTATTCGTAATTAAAAATAAAATTGTAGTTCTAGTTCAATACAACGTATTCTAATACAAACACCCCTTTTAGAAAGAATCGGTATGTATACAAGTACGAATTTAACGAATAAAATGCTGAAAAACATTTTGCCGTAGATAAAAAAAGGAAAAAAAAGAGATGACATGCGTTGAACGGATGTCATAATTCGTTGAAAAAGGCACCCCTACCCTACCTAGACTTAACCTCTTTTCGAACGTAACTCATAATTGATACAATAATAGCTAATAAAAAGGAACACGCTACCGCCCTTGTCTTAAATGATTGGATTTCTCTGTATCCTTGGAAACAAAAATTATGAATGTATGTGCTTTTAAAACTCAGTAAATTTCAAAAATAAGATATTCCAAAATTCGCTTGAAGATGAAACAGAAATAATGCTTTTGATTTAATTATATAATTGAATTTGAAGTTTTTAGTTTCTGTTTTTGAAATATATATATATATATATATATATATATATATATATATATATATATATATATATATATATATGTATGTATGTATGTATGTATGTTTCTATCTATGTTATTTTTATAGATACAAATATATAAACAAAGAATATATTAAAATAAATGTCGGACTTAGTCCATTTCATAACATATATATATATATATATATATATATATATATATATATATATATATATATATATAAAAAAGACAAGATCAAAACTATATCTTAGACTTAGCCGACGCGGTCTTTTATCTGACGGACTTTATCAAAGGCAAATGTTATGATATTATAATTATGTTATTTTGCAACAAGTATCTATTTGTCAGATGTTTAAAATGTTTAAATATCTGTTCTTTTCGAGGATGTTAAGTCACGTAATCTAATGTCTACTACCTAAACATTTCAGTTAACCTGATGAATATTCATGATCGTTTCTAAATTTGAGGAGGTGGATTCGTGCAACAGATAGATATGAAGAGACTGAGAAAGAAAGAAAGAAAGAAAGAGTCTAAATTAATTTATGTTTTTAAATTAATTTATTTTTTTTATTTTTAATAAATTATCCTATTGTGAAGACGTAAGAATGTGTGACTTTCTTTTTTATTTTCATATTTTTCTGTATATTTTTCTTGAACCTGTTTTAGCAAGTTTACTTCGAGCTTGACACACAGGTGCAAGATTTTACATTAGACCTGTTGGCAACCTGCCGGAGTTCGGAAGAAGTGCGCATGCTCCTCGGCTCTAACTCGAAAGAAGAAAGCCATGCGAATATGCCAGTTATCAACATGGCACTTGCTTATAAACAGAAAAAGGTGAGTGAAAAAGGGAAAATAATGCGTCCATTTTGATTGTCTATTTTCTTCTATCAGGTCATCCCATAAGTTCTGTCCGAATTTTGAATAAAGAAAACAAGTGACCAAATGTTACATTTAATTAAAGATTCAATCAACAATGTATTTTCCCTGATTATCTATGACTTCCTTCCATTTATTAACAAGCTTACTAATTCCATTACTGTAAAATTCTTTTGGCTTTGATTCGAAGAACTCACAAATGTCAGTTTTAACCTCTTCCTGTCTTACAAAAGCTGTTTTTCCAAATGATTCTGTAAGCTACGAAACAAATGGTAGTCTGAAGGAGCAAGATCAGGAGAATAAGGTGGATGAGGAATTTTCTCCCAACCAAGTTCTTCGATCTTTTGTGAAGTGATTCTTGCTGTGTGGGGTCATGCATTGTCCTGATGAAACATCACCTCTTTTCGATTCACTAGAGCAGGTGTTTTTTCCCTCAAAACTTGGTTCAAACGCTCTAATTGCTGACAGTATATTTGAGCATTAATTGTTGCATTAGGTGGTAAGAATTCAAAGTGGATTATTCCTCGGCGATCCCACCAGATTGAAAGAAGAACCTTTTGCCCATGAAGTTCCCTTCTCAGCTGTGGCTGGGGTCCTTCCCCTTTACCAAGCCACTGTCTACGACGCTTAACATTTCAATAAAAGATCCATTTTTCGTCGCTAGTCACACGTCTATCGAAAAAAGGTGAAACAAGTTGGCGAGAATGGAGAGAAGAGAAGATGTCAACTCGGGATTTGAGGTTTTCAGACAATTCATGAGGCACCCATTTTCCAAGTTTACGAACTTTTCCAAGTTGTTGAAGATGACGATGAACAGTTGTATGGTATGAACTGAAAACCACTGCCAATTCCTCAACTGATAAAGCAGGATTTTCTTGAAGGACTGCTTCAAGAAGCTTTTCATCAAACTCAACTGGACGTCCGGTTCGATCTTCATCTTCAAGGGTGAAATCTCCACCTCTGAATTTTGCAAACCATCTTCTGCAAGTTCTTAAATTCACACATTCCTCTCCATAAACTGAGTGAATGTTTCTAGTCGCTTCGACCGCTGAGTTTCCTTTCTTGAACTCATAAAGCATTATGTGCCTCAAATGATTCTTGGGTACTTCCATGTTAGCAGGGTTTTAATCAAACAAAATTTAATTGTATTGTTCTCTGAAATAAAATTTGATCAGTTTAAATGCATCTAAACATAAAAATAATGTTCAGCTCCATTAGACATTATGAAATACTCTTTAAATTTCGTTCATTTTAACAAAAAGTTAAAATTCGGACAGAACTTATGGGATGACCTGATATATTACCATTAAATGTACAGATGAAGGAGATATCAGTAGCGTATGTAAAATATAGAAGCTATGATACATCACTTGAGTGACCCATGTGACGATTCTGTCTAAGAAGTTAGGTAAGACATCCTTGGATAGTGTAAAAAGCAAATGATTTTCTTCAGATGTATGGTGATTCATTTATTATTTAGGGTGTGAAGCAATAAAGACGGGTAAACAACTTACATTCACGTTCATCCCAATTTTCTTTAACAGGAGTAGAGGTTTATTCCTTGTTTCCTGTTTAGAATTCAGTTTCCGGTTCCTTTTAAAGTCTACTTAACTCTATTCTTCTAAGGTCTCCGCTTTAATTCTGAAATTTTATTTCATCAATAGGAATAGATATGTTCACCTATCGTTTGGTTCACACTCCTTCCATGTCTTTTGAACAGGTGTATGGGGTTTATCCCTTGTTACCTGTTTAGGATTGAATTTCCGGTTCCTTCTAAAGTCTTTTTGCCCAGTCGTCCTTTGTGTATTAGTGGCATTATCGCCTTTCTTAGGGTGAACTGATTAAAAAAAAAACAATTCATTAGGTAAAAATACATGGATCAAAGCAGATTCTGTTGAGGGTAGAAAGGGAAGAGCTTGATTGAGTTAACAAATTCTATGTTAGAGTTTCTTTGATTCTAAGTCCTAGGATAACCTCCAGAGAGGTTTTAATAATCCAGTAATTTCCCCTTAGTTTGGAAGTGGTCTGTGTAGCCTTATACGTCCACCTTCATAGAGATGGTGTTTTGATAAACGCGACCATCCTCCTGTGCTGTGAACAAGTTAATAAAAACAGATAGATTTGCCTATCGTCCGTCCAGCATCCATTCCATGTTTATTGAACGGGGGTTATCCCTTGTTATCTGTTTAGGATATGTTTTACCTGTTCTTTTTGGTAATCTGACAGATTAGTGGCAGGAATTTTTAATTATAAGGGTACCAGGTTCGCAGTTCTCTGGTTACTGCATCCGACTTGTAGTAAGGAGCCCGAACACTTTGGTAGCTCTTAAAGAGGTTGCTTTGATCAACAATTGTATCTAGTCGAGGTATTTGTAGTGCCACGTATTTCTGGTTGGCAACCCTGAAGTCTCATTATGGTTTAGTCTTAACCACATTCTGCCTGTTTTTATTACCATTGATTGCAGTGATAAACATTTAGGGCTTTTTTCTCTTCTTATCAAAATCTTCTCATGAAAGATACATTGAAAAGAAATGAGAGTAAACCGCTAGACAAAAAAAATCATCTACCGACAATCTTTCCCCAATATTCCTTGTCGTCCATTTTGTTCTGAGTGTCCTTAATATCCATTTCGCATGAACTAAACAATAATAAATATTAATATAAAGTAATAAAGAAAGTATTTAATCACTTATTCAACATGGATGATACCAAACTCTTTTCCGAAGACGACAATGAGTTGAAAAGTAACCTCAACATTGTAAAAGTTTTCAGTGATGACATCAGTATATATTTCGGATTAGATAAATGTGCAAAGTAACATTTAAGAAATTACGGAAACACATTCTATAGATCTAGATTTTGTCACAAAAATTAGGGAACTGGAACAAGTAGAGTCCTATAAATATCTTGCGGTCAATGAAGGAGATGGAATACAGCATACCCAAATGAAGGAGACAGTAAGAAAAGAATACTCCTGGCGTGTGCGTCTGTTGCTAAATTCCGAACTGAATAGAATATCAGCCGTAAGCACTTTGGCTGTCCCAGTGGTGCAATGCAATTTCACCATCCTTAATTAGACCATAGCTGACATAAGGCGAATGTATGTCAAAACGAGAAAGCTTCCCACTTGTTACCGCATGTATATGTCCAGATCCGAAGGAGGGAGAGGTTTAGTTCAACTAGAACTGTCTTACAAAACCACAACAATCAAATATACCTGGAAACAACAGAAGACTGGATGATGATCTGTGGCAAAGAACATGAAAGAAATAAGAAACTTTATTCAGTAATAAAGGAAGCCAACAAATTAAAAATGGAATTTCAAGTGAGTGAAGGAGTGCAAGTAAACCATAATACTCCTACTGTAGCGGCAAAGAACCACGAAGTGCAGAAACGATGGCAAGATAAACCTCTTCATTGTCAATACTCGGCCCGTGCTAAACAAGCCGATGTAGACAAAGTCCCGTACTCATCAATGGTTACCTAGTGCAGAGGTAAAAGCTGAAACCGCAGTTTTTATTCTTGCTGCACAGGACCAATGCTTGCTAACTATACTTGAAAATTGTGTTGACTCCAAATGATTCTGGGATAAATATGCAGAAGCAATTTACCGTCTTGTATCAGGTTGCACAGTCTTAGCACCCATTGAATTTAACGTTCGGCATGATAGAGTGGGCCAATATCTTTAATTGAAAATTATATATATATATATATATATATATATATATATATATATATATATATATGTGTGTGTGCAAATATATGGATATAGATCCGACAGTATGAAGAAAATATACTGAAAAAACAAACAAAAATCCAAATATGCGATTATGCTGTTTTAATGTTTAATGTCAACGTCGGACGTTTCGGTCTAATAGACCATCTTCAGGACATATTCATAAAACATAATTAACATAGACCATATACAATTCAACATGAAAAAGACGATGGACATAAAAGCAATACCAATCCAAACAGATAACAGAAATCCTTTATAAGATCAGCGTTCCGTTTAAATATGATCACGTCGTCGTCACGTGTTAATTATGTTTTATGAATATGTCCTGAAGATGGTCTATTAGACCGAAACGTCCGATGTTGACATTAAACATTAAAACAGCATAATCGCATATTAGGATTTTTGTTTGTTTTTTCAGTATATTTTCTTCATATATATATATATATATATATATATATATGAGAGAGAGATTATAGTCGTTCCAACGAGAGAAAAGTGTATACTTTAAAGAGAAACGAGAAGCCACAAATCGTTTTTGGTTATAATGTGGATTTTAAAATATATATATTATAGTATATTTTATTTTCCAGAATATGGAAAAGAAAGTATAAAATATAATTAAAAAAAAAACACATTATAACCTAAAACGTTTGTTTCATCTTCTCTTTAATATATATATATATATATATATATATATATATATATATATATATGATTTGTTGATTAAATAATCATCATTGAATTATTAATAAATAGATATAACCAAATAGAAGAAAGAAACAGGATATGACGCGACTTGAACATTTACTCTGTTTTTTGACCTATTTCATTTGCATAAGCCGTAAAGCGCGAACTTTCACACGTCCGAGTCTCGGAAGATATGCTTTCCTATTGACGACACACCTTTTTTTAATGAAAGGTCTTCTTCTTCTTCTTCTTCTTCTTCTTCTTCTTCTTCTTCTTCTTCTTTGTGTCGTGTCTCTTTAGGACGTGGGTGATCATGGCTCACCGCAACTTTCTTTGTAGCTCTTAGTACGATCCGACTTTTTGTTACGCTACTAATCCCTGTTTCGTCGACCATTTACACAGGCTCGTCACGTAGGTTATTCACAGCTTTCCTCTGTTCCTCTTACCACCAGTATGTCCATCGAGTGTCAGATTCTCCAAGCGTACTTTCCTCATTATTTCAATTGTCTCTTCTAATTTTAAGTGCCCTTTTTGTTTCCATTTTTTTCCCTAAGACTTCGTCATTGCTAACATGCTCAGTGGGATTCTTCTATAAAATCATTCCTGTGGGTTCAAGTCTCTTCTTCGTTTGCGAGGTAATTTCCCAGCATTCATTGTCATATAGGAGGACTGATATTACATAATAGTTCAGTACTGTTTTCTTTGTTTCTAATGAAAATTTCCTGTTTCTTAATACTTTGCTTAGCCTTTGGAAGGCATATTTCGCTATCCCAATGCGCCTTCTGAATTAAAAGTTACTTTCAATCTTCCATATTGCATTGTCTTTATCAACTGCGCAAACTTTCCAGTAGCCTTTATTATTGCTAGTGATTAAGCAATCACATGATTAAACACTGTAATATTGTTCTACATGCTATAGTAGGATACCTGGTACGATGAGCATTAGGTGGCTCTGGATAAAAGTAGTACCATTGATTATAGTACGCTGCATCTTTGGGTAGACGGGCATCACTGGTCCTCAAACATCTCCTAAATCTCTCACAAGATGGCTGTAAGTTATTACGCCCCGGTAAACCGCTTCAGCTAGCGGGTTAGACACACGTGAGTAGGGCGGTGTTAACGCGTTACCACTGGGCGAAGAACCATCTCAACGCACGTCACCGACCAGGGCGGGAGGCTTCCTCATATGTACCAACAGCCAAGCGACCAAGGCGAGCCACTTAGTTGGAGGGACATCGGCTGTGGTCTAATCTGGAGAAGGATGGTCTCTGCCAGATTAAAACACCCAAAACACGCCATATGGTGAGCAAACCATTCACGGAGACCCAGTCTCTGTCACACGGCTGCGACAGATGGAGGAACATGGTGGATAGCTCAGCACGTCGGCGCCTCCAGGATTCCTTCCGGGGTTAAGGGCGAAAGAAGAAGAAGAAGAAGAAGAAGAAGAAGAAGAAGAAGAAGAAGAAGACATGCTACCAGCAATGATTTGATTGATTAGCTTTTTACGGCTTGTCAGAAAAAATATTAATTTTTTAATCGTTTTAAAGGAGGGGTCCTATTTGTAATATCGATAAAGTATCAAAATTATCTCTGAGTCTTACTGAGTTATTGGACTTTTGTGGTTTATTTAAAGTCAGAAAATATTTTTAGATTTCAGAACTTTAGAGGAAATAAGGATTTACGGATATAAGCCCTACTAATTAACCCATATTCGGTGGATGAAGAGGTGGATACACATCTTTTCTATGCGTGTAGATGGATAAAACGATCTGGGATGTAACTGGGCTTTTCCAGTTCCGAGCCATTATCCATTACACCACTCGCTCATCCAAGCTTACATCATCTGGTATTCCCAAGCGGTCATCCATCTTAGGTACTAATCAGGCTTGACCTTGCTTAACTTCAGTGATCGTACAGGATCGTACGGTGCTATGACCGTAAGCTTACCAGCAGCAAGTAATCTCTGAGTTGAACTAAAACTTCACACATTACAAGGCTAAAAAGAATCCCAAGGTAGGAGGTTACTGAATAAGTTTATTTTATGAACGCAAATACCCTTGGGAAAGCTATAAATCCATTCCCCCCAGTTATGGATTAAATAGTAGAACTTGAAACTGGAAAAATCATTTTTATCTCCCAAAAAATGTTAATGCAATATTCACTCGCAAAATATGCTTCAGCTTTAAATAACCCACAAAGGGTTGGTAAGCCGTAAAAATCAATAAAATCAGTTCTCACTTTTCTTTTTTAAGAATGAAACTTCATCAGCAGCCTTGTTTTTGAATAACTAACCAAACATCGGATTGCGTGAAGAGCCTTATTTTCTGCTTTTCTTTACGTGTGACAAAAAGTGATTGCATGCTTCCTGTAAATGCATGGATTTTCGGTAAATAATATACCTGAAAATGTACGTAGAATTATATGCAGGCCAATTTGTCTAAGATAGTAACTCAATCACAGCCTTGGCTCATGTCTGCTAAAATGGTTACCTGTCAAAGTCATCAGAAAGCCATTCCCACTTAGACACTTTAAAATTCTCGTGAATCCTCAGTATTGACCGAAACATTAAGAAATACCCTAACCTCTTTGTCAAAAGTGCAAAATGGAAACGGTATTAAGGCACCAATTCCCGATGTTTAAATCGATATATCTTGCGACTCTTACAAATGACTCTTAAAATGAAGTCCAATCATTTCAAGAATGGTTTTGAAGATATTGGCATTCTCTTTTGAGTGGATCTCTAGCATCAAAGACCTCAAAAGTGGGTTCAACATTTCTAGACTGATCTGTATCGGCGCTTGAGATCAATTTCTCTCTTTCAGAGCGCACTAAACAGACCCCCCCCCCGTTAGATTTTCGGCTTGTGTAAGTTGGGGAAGGAACAAACTAAGTAATTTCCCTTCATGGCGTTTTACAGTCACTGCCCAACTCCTCTCCAAGTAACATGCAGCAGATTATACTGTGATACATGGTACCAGTAGTAAGAAGCTATACCTGAGTTGACCTGAGTGGAACCAGTCTGCCTAGTTTAAAATCCAAGTTGTCTGTCCACGAGTCAACCAAAGCGAGAGAGCTGGGTGGGGGAGAAAGGAACTCTTACCCAAGATTCTGGTGATAGCGAAATGGTGGGTATTGGCTTGTGCAACTCTTTATTCAGCTAAAATTTTACATCACCACATAAGCCTTCTTTCTTAAAGGAAACTATCATTAAGTACGAATTAAAAAAAAAAGCATCTGGCTCAACTTGAATTTGAACACCGTTCGTCGACTTCATTAGGTGTACTATTAACTGTTACGTTACACGAATATCTTTTCGTGCGCGTTTTCTATTTGGCACTGCGGACACTTCGTCGTGATCTAATTATTAACAAGCTTGTTATGCTAAATCAATTACAACTGAGTAGTGAGTTCGATCCTAAATGGGTGCTCAATACATTCGGCCTTGTGCCACATCTGAGCTATGCTTAGAAATTATTTGGGCACCTCCACCTGGTTTAATGGCTAGTAAGTTTGTCTCGCTAGAACAATTATGAGTGAGTTTGATCCTCTCTAGCTGTCGCATACTTTCGGTCCTGCGCCACATCGAAGATACACAGAGAAAATCGTCATTCTCTTTTTGGTACTACTTAAATAGAGTGGTCCATTTTCAAAAAACAGGGAAAATGTTTTTAGGAATAATTGTTGTAGATGAATATTCTTTAGCGACAATTGTCAGAAAAAATATTAATTTTTTAATCGTTTTAAAGGAGGGGTCCTATTTATAATATCGATAAAGTATCAACATTATCCCTGAGTCTTACTGAGTTATTGGACTTCTGCGCATGAAGACAGGCTTTTGAGGAAGAGAGCGTAGAAAGATTTCTTTTAAATAAAGAACAAACGGATATATACATTTGTAATTAAAGAAGAAAAATTTCCATAATTAATAAAACTGTGTATCCCTTTTTTCTTCCTTTAAGATAAATAATTATTAACCTGTTCGTCTGTGTGCCTTCCATACATTTTTTAATTTAAAAAGAGTTAAAAAAGAAAATGAAGAAATGGTTAAAAAATTCAGAAAATTAAAAATATATATTCAGATATCAATTACGTTACTACACTTTCAAATTTGACATTTATGCATCACAGCTATTTCCAATAACTTTGTAAATGTAAAGGATCGATGCTGAACTCTATCGATATTATAAACAGAACAAAAGGAGCCTAAAGAATTTCGATATAATGCTAATATGCAAAAATTATTTTTAACCCCCCCCCATTTTCTTACGAGTCTGTTTTTGTAGAGGCTTTTTTGCCGCAGTGTTTAATCATATTATTGCCTAACTACAAACAATGCTAGAGTCGATTGCAAAGTTTGGGCAATCCAGCGGCGAAGATCAAAAGTTACTTTTAAATTGGAATAAAATAAAAAAAACCTTTTCATGCAAAAGTAAACAAAACGTGAATAATCATCATAAAAGCAGCTTTTCCAACGATGACGTGTGAAAGTTCGCAGTCTTCCGGGTTATGCAACTAAAAAAGAAAAGAAAAAACACACTGAAACTTTATTTCGGTGCAAACAATTCTAAGTCGCGTCAGATCTTGTTTGTTTGATAATATCCATTTATTAATAATTCACTTATTGATTCGTTAATCTAAAAATGTAACAAACAATTTTTTGCAATTGCTTTAGAAAACAAGCAAAGAATAGTTCTGTGCCGGAACAAAATATTCGTTTGTGAGTGTAAGTGAATTTCAAAAAACCAAAATGAATTTGTATGACAATATTTACATGTTTTCTTTTTTTCTTTTCTTTTTTTAATCATTTTCACCCTAAACAAGGCCACTAATACGCAGGAGGTTACAGGGAGAGAAATTGAAAGAAAAAACTGGGTATACAGGGATTGAAAAAAGGATAAAAGAGGAACGGGATTCAAGAAGAGAGAAGATGGCGATTAATGTTGCATTTAAATTTTTTAAGATATTAATTATCAGGGAAGCAAGTAAACGGAAGGGAGTTGCACAGGTGGGAAGCGCAAGAAAAGAAACTGTTGGAGCAGAAGTGACGGTTGCATTTACCTAATTCAACGGTAAAAGTGTGGAACCTAGATGCCAATCACGTAGCATGCTTAAATTGACGTAGTCGGGGAACCATGGAAAAAAAGGTCGTCAGAGAAGTTGCCATGAAAATATTTGTGGAAGAGGCAAAGAGAAGCCATGTCATGTCGGTGAGAAAGTGACTTTTTTACATAGATTTATTTAACCAAAAATGTGCCATTTTCTTCCACTATTTTTCTTCCTCTTTAAATCAGTTTAATGATTCCATCCACCCCCAGAGCTTTCTTTTATTAATCATTTCACTCAAAGCAAGCCAATAAAACCACTAAAAAACAAGGCTTACTAAGTGTTAGAGAATATGAGAAGAAAGAATTATTTAAGAGAGAAAACAATAAAAAAAGGAATTAATAGACAGAAGATAACAATTGATATTGCATTATTTACATTATTCGGACTATTGTCCTCATCTTTATCACAACGTTTCGGCCGTTTCTGGTTGGAATTTCGAACTGAACACTTTTATTTCGCTCACTGGGGTAGACTGTTCTAGTTCCACGTGCCATGTTTGATGGATGTCAGTTATCAGTTATCTCCTGCTAATTTCCCTCTGAAAGTTCCCCACTGCCTTAACCGGGTATTGAACTCACACTCTTTGGGTCCTGTCACTGGATCCAACCAACGCCTTTATCCACTGTGTCATGTGTCCTTGAGGACATATGGGTATGGATTTCTGGGTATTATAAACCTAATGTCTTCAGCAACCATTTTTACCAGTGCTCATATTGCAATTTTTGCTGTTATCATTACATGTTTTTACCAGAGCTCATATTGCAACTTTGTTGTTATCATTGCTTTTCTCTGGCACTCCTTATTATTGGTTCCCATATTGTATTTATTTCTATGCTTAGTCGGCTCAGGAGATTTTTGTGGCCTAGCATATGTGCTGATTCCTTAAGTTTACGAATTTTCCAATGGTGTTCCTTGTCTATGATCTCAACATGATCCCACAGAGGGCGAACAACGGCCGAAACGTTGTGATAAATATGGCGACAAAGATGACAATAGTCCGAATAATGTAAATAATGTACATAATACCTTATCTCGGAAATATAGACAGACTCTGAATTGATATTGCGTTTAAATTTTTGAGTTGGTTGGAAATTGAGATACTGTTAACATAGAACATGGTTATATCTAGCCATTTCAACTGTGAAATGATGAGACCTAGCTGCCACTCTAGTACTGTGATTGAATTCGTAAAGTCAAGGTACCAAAGAGGAAAGCTCATCAGAACAATTATCATGAAAATATTTACAACAAAGGCACCGGGAATCTACGTTACGGCAGTGGTAAAGGGATTGAGGCCGAGATGCCAGGTCAGGACCAGTAATATTTTAAATTCTTCTTCGTATTTTATCAAGAATCTCTGAATATATAGCAGAAGCACTAGACCAAATGTGGCTACAATATTCAATGCATGGGCGAATGGTAGACTTATAAATGTATAAGATAGATTCTGGTGAGAAAAAAATGTCTGGCTTAAGTGGATTTTAGTTTTGAAGTTCTTCTTATTGAGAGAATTATGTATTAATCGAAACAGGTGGTAATCTGAAAGGGTAAGCTTAAGTTAGTAAGGCATGTGTAGTAGCACATCTCAACGAAGCTGTACCAATATTTACCGGGTATGCCAAAACATGCGGTCGGGCATTGTCCTGATTGAAAAAGACATAATACCATTTGGCCAATTCCGGGCATTTTTCCTCGACTGCTGAATTATATATGTCTCACAGGTAAGATATTTGTGAGAATTCAACGTCTGATTTTCATGAAGGATCGGGCTTTACACAATTCCCTCCCTGTCCTACCAGATATACAGCATCACCTAATTTGGATACATACCTGTTTTTGGAGTACTTAATTCCCAAATAAAATAGGTACTTTGAACACGGCCACAATGTACTGGCCGTATTTGGAAATTAAGAATGTGTCTACTTTCAGATACTTTTATGCGTGTGGAAAATTTTTGCATTCATTACGTCGAGAAAATAAAACACTTGTACGTATACAAAAACGTAATTAAAAAGTGAAAGAAAGTACCTTGTCAGGCTTGTTCAACGAAGCACACACACACACACACACACACACACACACACATATATATATATATATATATATATATGAATAAAGAGAAAATAAAAACTTACCTTGGCCGACGCGTTTCGTCCTCTGATGGACATTATCAGGGCAAATGAAAGAATTTTATTTGCCAACAAGTATTTATAAACAAAAGCAATATATATATATATATATATATATATATATATATATATATATATATATATATATATATATATATACAGGGTGTAACAGCAGAATTGTCCAAATCGTGTTACAGCATAATTATCAATCCCACAAAATGTTTAATATCTAAAAAAACACTAAACTGAGTTTGTTTTTTCCTTGTTTTCAGATAAGACGTTTAGGCATCTTGATATCAGTTGTCGTAAGAATCACTGAAAAACCCTTTGAGTTATTCAGCTAGAAAGAAAACAGGTTAAAATCAGTTTTGTGTCAGTCCCACTATCTTCTCAACTGAGCAATGACGAGAGGAAAAAGATCATTCAGGCCTTCAGTAATGTTACGAACATTCATACTCTGGCTTCTATTTTCAAAGTCCATTCAAGAACCATCAAGAGAACGGTGAATAGGTTTTAAAAATAGAGAACAGTAGAAAGGAAAACCGGATCAGGAGGTCACAAAAGAAAGAGGGATCATCATTTTAACTTAGAACTAAAAAGATCAATTAGAAAAGATTTGAGTCAATCCATAAAATGCACGTGAGAGAGGAGTTTCACCTATGACAGTCTAAAGACCAGTGAAAAAAGACTTTAAAATGAAATTGTGAGGCACCTTGCTACTCCAGGACAGAAAGTTATAAGGTTAGAGGGGCGAAGATCTTCTTGAACAAGTTGGAAAATGATCATATATATATATATATATATATATATATATATATATATATATATATATACATAAAATATATAATTGGTGTATATGGAATGAATTCCAATAACCAACAATTATTATTGTTAAAAGAGTGCTCAATACAAAGTAGAGCAGATATAATTATTTTTTATAAAAAATAAAAAATTATAACATAAATATGTTGTAAAATCACTACAAAATGGCTATTTTTGTAGTGATTTTATAACATATTTATGTTATAATTTTTTTTTTTTATAAAAAATAATTATATATATATATATATATATTTGAACTTTTCAATCCTTCATGCGCTTCCGATCATTAGGCATGATTAATCACTGACGAACATATCATTTTCATTTATGATCGATTTCATCATGATTCTTCTGTTAAGTTTGGAGAGTAGTTATATATCCTTATTGCTCAAAGTAAAGACCAATACCTCAGAGAATTCCAGTCAGGCATGTTTAATCTTTTCTAAGATACAACGGTCCAAAGCTTAATCTAACAATTGGACAATTTTGCTGTTACACACGATATATATATATATATATATATATATATATATATATATATATAATGCTATGACTTCCAAACCGAGCAAGGAATCGTACTGAGTTGGAAATCTCCCAAATTTGCTTCAAAGATCAGAAACAGACACATCCCGTAAAACTATATGAATTCCCATTATGTTTAATTTTTGCCAAAGTTATTATTATTATTATTATTATTATTTGTGTACCGTGTCCCCTCAGGACGTAGGCAATCATGGCTCTCCACAACTTCCTGTCACTTTCAGCTCTTAATAAACTTTGTCTTCCGGTTATTTCTCCTAAGCGATGTTACGCCGTCAATTTACTTGAGCTCACTATGTAGAATAGCAAAAGGAGATATTTTAATTATTTATATCTGGATTTTCACAGAGAGACAGACAGACAGACTCACACACACACACACACACACACACACACACACACACACACACACACACACACACACACACACACACACACACACACATGATGCCTTTACCTGTGATGAAAAAAAAATCGGAAAATATTTTTAAACCTAAACTTTTTCAGTGTCATTGCACTTAATGTTCGTGGCGACAGTTAGTTACATAGATTGAACATTATTATACAAATAGAAATTCAAGTAATAAGTACGTGAGTGTGTGTGCGTCTGTGTATGTGTGTATGTGTGTGCGTGAAAAGCCAGAGATAAATAAAATATATCTGTAAAAGAACAATATAAATAAAGACAAAAGGAAAGAACTTCAGACTTTATCAAGATAAATATGATCCCTTTATTTTGATAAAATCACTCAGGGAACAAAGTTTTCCTTTTGTTCATATATATATATATATATATTAAAGACATTTTTATGTTTAACGTTCTTTTTTATAGATACAAGTATTTAAGTAAATGCTCTGTTTATAATAAACAGTATTAAATAACATTTACCGGCCTCAATGACCGAGAAATTTGACAGGATTCGAACCTGCATCCTCTACGGAACCGTCATTTACGCTGACGTGCCTTGACCGCTCGGCCACAAAGGATCGTTCGGTTGGCAAGGTTGAATTTACTGCTTATAAACTTCAATCTTCCATGAATCTCGTACATTCATAACTGCTCATGGCGTATCAAATGTAAACAAATGACGTCATATATTAAGAAATGGACAAAGTCCGACAATTTATTTATTAAATACGGAGTATAGTTATGAGCAGTTATGAATGTACGAGATTCATGGAAGATTGAAGTTTATAAGCAGTAAATTCAACCTTGCCAATCGAACGATCCTTTGTGGCCGAGCGGTCAAGGCACGTCAGCATAAATGACGGTTCCGTATAGGATGCAGGTTCGAATCCTGTCAAAGGACGAATATTTTCTATGAAAATTTCTGGGACATTCAGGCCGGTAAATGTTATTTAATACTGTTTATTATAAACAGAGCATTTACTTAAATACTTGTATCTATAAAAAAGAACGTTAAACATAAAAATGTCTTTAATAAATAAATTGTCGGACTTTGTCCATTTCTTAATATATATATATATATATGAACAAAAGGAAAACTAAAGAGTGGACGCATAGACAAAAATGCATATTTTCAAGAAATTAAATTTTCAGGATTTTATTGAATTGGAATATTAACAAATAACATCTTCCATATGATTTGTGAAACAAAGGTTGATGCGCTTTGCAAGATTCACATGAACTCGATGTAATAACTCCACATTGCATTCAAATTTTAGCACATTCGCTCTTTATGCATTCAATCAAGTGTGTTGCATCTGTGATTTTCATTGAGTACACCTTCTTTAGCATACCCCAGAAAAAGAAGTCAATTCTTGCTTCTATCATAGAAACTGAAAGCATACAGTTGTCACCAACAGCAGTTTTCTACTGATTTCCTCGCTTCTTAAAAAACGCGCGAAAAATGAAAAATAAATGAAAGAACTACGGAACACCAGCAATGCAATAAAAAAATTTAAAAAAGAGAAACTAATTAGAAACTCGTGAAATGATACTTCTGAAATCCTTAAATGCTTTTATTTTTTTATTACTTGCTTACATGTTTGATGTCATAAAATATTTAATCGTGCCCAGTGAGGTATTTTAATTATTCTAAGAAAAAAAAGGGAGGGATTAATAAAGAGTTATTTATTTGATAGCGCTTATTAATTGATAGTGCTTATTAATTGATAGTGCTTATTAACTGGTAGTGTTTATTAATTGTTTTCACTTTGGTTTCTTCAGAGTTAATTGCGATAACATTTATAAACATCACCAAAAATCACACAGACTTAGAAAAATCATCAAAAATGCATATTAAAAATAAAAATAATCAATTTTTGTTTGTTGTAAGTCCCGATAAAAATAAAAATATAAAAATAAAATATTTAAACAAAAATAAAAAGAATTCAAAGTTACCGCACTTATTTTCCGATACCATTAGAAAATAAGTGCGGTAACTATTGTAAACTGAAGTGCAGTAACTATATTAAATTATTGGTAATTTTCCAACATTTCCTCAACAAGCGTCTTCGTAAGTAAGACTATAAAGTACCTAAAATCCATTAAAATATTAGAATGCTTAAAATATTTTAAAATGGATAGTTAAAAGATTATATAAAAAGACGTTTACGTTGTATTCATCATTAAAATAATTATTTTTCTCTTACACAAATTAGCGAAACATCAGGCTGTTGATAAATGTGTCTAAACACGCACCTCTTTGTTAAAAATGTTTTTCAGCGATATTTAAAACTAAAATAAGTAATATTTGTTTTAGTTCAGATTAATAAAATTTTAGTCAGTTAATTTTCCTCAAATAACGCTTCAGCAAACTATATTTTATTTTTGAATGATTTTTTTTTAATAAAGTGAATTATGTTATGTTGACAGATTTGTCAATATGGTCGATTTTATTTTCACTGGTCATTCTGATCAATTTAAATTCAGTTTGAAATACAGCAAAGTATTTTGCTTATTGGAAATATTAAATTTCATCGTTTAGCTTTGGAATTAGAACGAAAATAAGTCCTTCAAGAACATTTATTTTCAAAAATGTATTTTAAACCTTTTTCAGAGTTACATATATACATATATTTTAATATTCTGATAAATCTTAATTCTCAACATAATGATTGAATAAGCACGTATCAGTAGACATTCCCCGATCGCATCGTTAAATATTTGAGCCTAACTACTTTAATAAATTATTGCAATAATAATCATAAATATGAATGCTGGCCATCACTTCAAGAAGTAAGTGGCTACAAGTGAAAGGATTTGAAATTGGTAACTTTTTTTTTTTGCATTTAACTGAAACAGACGTTAAATACGTCTATCTTCCCTTCTTTCTTTCTTTCTTTCTTTCTTTCTTTCTTTCTTTCTTTCTTTCTCTCTCTCTTTCTTCCTCTCATTCTTTCTTTCTCTCTTTCTTTATTTTTCATATTCTCTTTTTCCTTATTCTTCTCATTCATTCATTCTTTCTTTCTCTGTTTCTTTCTTACTCTCTTTCTTTCTTTCTTTCTTTCTTTTTCTCTCTCTCTCTTTCTTCCTCTCATTCTTTCTCTCTCTCTTTCTTTCTCTCTTTCTTTATTTTTCATATTCTCTTTTTCCTTATTCCTCTCATTCATTCATTCTTTCTTTCTCTGTTTCTTTCTTACTCTGTTTCTTTCTTTCTTTCTTTCTTTCTTTCTTTCTTTCTTTCTCTCTCTTTCTTCCTCTCATTCTTTCTTTCTCTCTCTCTTTCTTTCTCTCTTTCTTTATTTTTCATATTCTCTTTTTCCTTATTCCTCTCATTCATTCATTCTTTCTTTCTCTGTTTCTTTCTTACTCTGTTTCTTTCTTTCTTTCTTTCTTTCTTTCTTTCTTTTCTTTTTCTTTTTTTTTCTTTCTCTCTTTTCTTCCTCTCATTCTTTCTTTCTCTCTCTTTTCTTTCTCTCTTTCTTTATTTTTCATATTCTCTTTTCCTTATTCTTCTCATTCATTCATTCTTTCTTTCTCTGTTTCTTTCTTACTCTGTTTCTTTCTTTCTTTCTTTCTTTCTCTCTCTTTCTTCCTCTCTTTCTTTCTCTCTCTCTTTCTTTCTCTCTTTCTTTATTTTTCATATTCTCTTTTTCCTTATTCTTCTCATTCATTCATTCTTTCTTTCTCTGTTTCTTTCTTACTCTGTTTCTTTCTTTCTTTCTTTCTTTCTTTCTTTCTCTCTCTTTCTTCCTCTCATTCTTTCTTTCTCTCTCTCTTTCTTTCTCTCTTTCTTTATTTTTCATATTCTCTTTTTCCTTATTCTTCTCATTCATTCATTCTTTCTTTCTCTGTTTCTTTCTTTCTTTCTTTCTTTCTTTCTTTCTTTCTTTTCTTTTCTTTTTTATTTGTTCTCAATATCATTGTTTCTGCGAATATTTATCTTTCCTTTTTTATGACTTTTTCTTCCTTCCTTACATTCTTTCTTTCTTTCTTTCTTTCTTTCTTGCTCTCTTTTATTTTCTCAATGAAACCAACTATTGTCGCTGATATGTCATTTCCGTGTTTTCACGTGGGTTAAAACGGAATAGTCCATCATCTATGAAGTATTGGTTGAGCGCAACGGTCGTGCGAACTAAGGAACAAACTAAAGAAGGAAGGGACAAGCAGACTTATGATAGGATTTTTATTTGAATTCAGTAAATAATTATTTATTTTTGTTTGAAATAATTGCCTCTGTTTAATGAAAATAAACATTGTGAGCTCTTTGTTCATCTGTTTTAAATTTTATATTTAATATTCTATATTGTGTTAATAGGACTCCTATGCCAACGGATTACTACCTACCTATATATGATATATATATATATATATATATATGTTAAGAAATGGACGAGGTCCGACAATTTATTTATTAAAGACATTTTTATTTATGTTTAACGTTGTTATTTTATAGATACAAGTATTTAAGCAAATGCTCTGTTTATGATAAACAGTATTAAATAACATTTACCGGCCTGAATGTCCGAGAAATTTTCATAGAAAATATTCGTTCATAGACAGGATTCGAACCTGCATCCTATACGGAACCGTCATATACGCTGACGTGCCTTGACCACTCGGCCACCATGAACCTTATGGTAGACAAGGTCGAATTTACTGTTATAAACTACAATCTTCCATGAATCTCGTACATTCATAACTGCTCTGGCGTATCGAATGTAAACAAATGACGTCATATGTTAAGAAATGGACGAGGTCCGACAATTTATTTATTAAAGACATTTTTTATTTCTTAACATTATTTCTTAACATATGACGTCATTTGTTTACATTCGATACGCCAGAGCAGTTATGAATGTACGAGATTCATGGAAGATTGTAGTTTATAACAGTAAATTCGACCTTGTCTACCATAAGGTTCATGGTGGCCGAGTGGTCAAGGCACGTCAGCGTATATGACGGTTCCGTATAGGATGCAGGTTCGAATCCTGTCTATGAACGAATATTTTCTATGAAAATTTCTCGGACATTCAGGCCGGTAAATGTTATTTAATACTGTTTATCATAAACAGAGCATTTGCTTAAATACTTGTATCTATAAAATAACAACGTTAAACATAAATAAAAATGTCTTTAATATATATATATATATACATATATATATATATATATATACAATAGATAGTCACCAAATTAATGGAGAGTTTCATTCGTCCCAGTTGAATCTTAAAGAGAGTTCTGGTTCATTTTGTGAGACTGTGTATTTCTTTGATTCTTCATTGTTTAGAAATATTTATATATTATTTGAGCAAAACCTTTCTTCATGGAAGAATCCTTATATGATTAAACAAATAATTAAAAAATATTCAAAAAATAAAAATAAAAAAGTATGACTAAAAAAGTAAAAAGCGGTATCTCTTTTTTTAACGTTTTGGTTAACCTGCCATCGAGTATCACGCAATGAACAAATTGACCGAATTCATGGACATATTATTCAGCCGGTAACGTCGGTATGAAAATGTTCCTTTTTTTAAAACCGCTTCGTAAAAATTCCAATGCAGTCAATCATTGCTTTTGAGTGGGAGTGATGCTTGAAATGATTACCTGTCCTATCGATTCACTCATTGCATAGACATTCGATTAGAGTGTTTCCCTTTCTTTGTCTCTCTATTTAATGCTTAGTTCTAGGAAAACACATGGTATCACGTTGTGTGACATAATCTAGGCGTGTTAAAAGTTTTCATTCTAACGTTGCAACAGGTGGAAAAGTCTTTCTTTTTTTCTTCAAACGATTCCACACAGTGTGGCTATTCACGCGGGCATTCAAAGCAATGGGGGATAATTGTTATTTTTGAAAGAATATATAACGCCAAAGTTGGAGAACAATTTGTAATGAAACTCAGCGTCATTATTTTACTTTGGCATGTATCTAAACAGGCATTTAGTGACAATAAGCCATCCCAAATATTTTAGCAAAAATATGACACAAGCCAACTGTAAAAATGGCGGTCTGTAACATCTGTTATTTTTTTTTCTCTCGCAAATTCTAACAAAGACGCTTGCCATTTGAAGTTTGTTATTTCTCCCAAACACCAACAAAAAGTATTATCATTCAAAGCCTGGTTTCCCAGAATTCTAACAGAGATTGTAGTCATTCGAAATCTGTTTTTTCACAAATTCTGACATTCTTGTTATTCAAAACTTATTTTTCTCACAAACCTAACATAATCTCTTGTCATTCGAAGCCGGTTTTTTTTCCAAATTCTAACATTCACACTTGTCATTCGAAGCTTGTTTTCGTTAGAGACCCAAAAAGATAGTCGAAGGGTTTTTTTTAAACACATTCTAATATAGACGTTTATCAATCAAGGCGTTTTTTCTACAAATTTTAACGTTGACGCTTGTCATTCAAAGTTTAGTTTTCATTGACTTTTTTTATTCGAAGCCTGTTCTCTTCCTCAAACGCTAATATATATTCTTGTCAGTTTTCACGAATTCTTTTGTCATTCGAAGACTGTTTTTCGCTCAAATGCTAATATTGATTCTTGCCATTCGAAGGTTTTTCCCCAGAACCCCGAACATATAATTTTGTTATTCGAAGCCTGTTTTTTTTCCACAAATTCTGATATTGATTCTTATTCCAAAACTAATTTTTCAGATTTATGTCTGAATTTTTGGGATGTGGAGTTATAATTATTTACACTACTTACATTCTGAATATTGTTGTTATCACAGCGTTTTAACCGTTGTGCTCTCTGGCCTTCATCAGGTGTATATCGTTCCGGGTGTTAATCTACAGGGAATTCCGAACTGAGAGCTTTATTTAATCTACGGGGTAAACTGTTCTCGTTCCACTGCTAATGTCTAGGAATATCTCGCCTAGTTCTTATTTTTAGTACTGTTCAATTATTGCTCACCCTGATTCCACTGTGTCCAAATACACACTGCCCGACCCAAGAATTGAACTCACAATTACTATATCACCATTTCACAAACCAAGGCTTTAATCCACTATTCTGTTATTATCAGTACAAATATGTATATAGAAATAAACATTATTTATACTATTTACATTCGGACTATTATCCTCATCTTTGTTGTTGTTATCACAACATTTTGGCTGTTGAGTCCTCCGGCCATCATCAGGTGTATATTACAAGGGGAAATCATTCTGAGTGCCACGTTCGAGTGGCAAGGCAGTTTTTTTAAAAAAATTTTTACTTGTAGAGAATTTTGCATGCATTTGGATAGACTTAGAGATGTAGAAAATTCCGTAATTAATAGCTAATAGTAATTAATAACTAGTTTGGTACCTGGAGACTTGAATTGAACTCACAATACAGCAATCGATGGTGTGGTAGTAAAATAACATAAATTATAAGAATAAAAAAATGTTTTGCAAATTCAAATTCCTAAGGAAAACTCAAGATGTGTGAAAAAAAATAGTAAAGAAATAAAAACTGATACGAACTGCATAACCCCTTCAACGAAATAAAGGATTTTGTATAAAATCATTTGGCACTTGAAATTATCATAGACGGAATAAAATACAAAATGCATACGTCAGACAAAAAATAGTAATATATTTTAAGAAAATTCTACTATATATTCTATAATACATTTCAAAATTAATTTTAAAATCATTTACAATACATTTTAATACAAAATAAATTCTCCAATACTTTTTTATATTAAAAGTTATTCGTAAGAATTGTTATAGAAACACTTTTGAACAATGAATTACTATTGCAAAACAGTTTTCAAAAGTAGTCCTATCGAAAATTATTGCATTTCTACAGTAAAAATATTTGAGGAATTAATTTCTCCAGGGAAAATGAGTAACCAGTGCATTTCTATGGCAAATATTGGAAATGCATCCCTTTATATTAAAAATCATTGAGAAATGAATTATTGAAATAAAATCGTTTTCCAATGCATTTCTGTATTAAAAATTATTGCCTAATGCATTTCTGTAGTAAAAATTGTTTCCAATACATTTCTGTAGCAAAATCGTTAGACAATGCATTTCATTGTCGAAAATCTTTGCTCAGTGAATTTTCAGAGTAAAATTCATTGGTTAATACTTTTTATAAAACAATTAACAATGGATTTCCATAGTAAAAATTCCTTAACCAATGTTTGTTTTTTTTTATAATAAAAGATATTTGCAATGTTTTTCGATAGTAAAAACCAATGGCAGGGTATTTTTTTAATTTATTAAGTCATTTGCTGCAAGGGTATGTCGCAAGTTATGAATTATACTTATTTCTGCTAATTTCTAAATATTATATTTGTACAGTTTCTTGCACACCGGAAATGTCAAGCTCAAGTGGCGCAGCTGTGGTTCTCTGGGGTCCCACTTCTACGTTACCTGAACAATTTCAACTACCTGATGTTGTCTATCCCAATTGGCATGATTTTCATCCCCATCTTGTCCATTATTTACTTGTTCACAGGATATTATAAGGTAAGTCAGTTCAGCTTAAAAAGGATGTACAGGTGTTGTAATGGGAAGCGGCTCAGGATGAGAAATTGCAAAGTAGAGTTCGAATTACAGTCCACAAATACCCTTGGGAAAGGTATGAATCAATACCCCCTTACACGCACACACACCAAATTATGAGGTAATTAGTAGGACTTGTATCTGTTATCCTCAAAAATTGTTAATGTAATATTCAGTCGCAAACATAAAGAATTGTTCTCATAATCCCCAAAATATGTTTCGGCTTTAGATAACTCATAAGGGGTTGATAAACCGTAAAAAAAAATCTTGTAATCTTTAACCTCCGTGTCCGCAAAAAACGGAGTGTCAAAATTGCAGTTTTTCCAGTTACACCGCTGTTTAGATTTCGGCACTAAATATCCTCTAAAGGCTGATATGCCGCTAAACAAATTCAACCAACGTAAGTCAAAACTGCTTGCTCTGAGTGCCAGCGATCCTACCTTTATTCCTCAGCAATGTTTATTATCTTAAAAAGCGATTATTAAAATCTTAATAAAAATCTAAGCATATGATGAAAGTAAATTTATAATTTTTTTTATTCTTGAGAATTTACAATGACAAAAATAACTTTTAGATTATCGTAATATCTAAAACTTTAATCGATTCACTTTTAATCCGACATTTATATTACTTAAAATGTCATTTTTAGCGGAGACCCATATTTGGGTAGCATCGTGATTTCACACCTGGTGAAACGTTAATCATTTTTTTTAAAAGTTGAAGCAAGATGTACAGTTTTGTAGTGGGTATGTACATGTTCTAATATAACAGTGCATAATATATATATATATATATATATATATATATGTAATATTATAAATTAACTGATTTAAAATATGGTTTTTTTCGCTACACAGTTCTAACCATGTTTCAAAAATGGAAGCTAAAAGCTTCGAATTTAATTTTGTAATTAAATTAAAGACATTAGTTCCATTTCATCCTCAAGCGAATTTTGGAGTAACTTATGTCTAAATTTACTGGGTTTTAAAGGCACGGCAAAAATCATAATTTACAGTTTCCAAGGATACAGAGAAATCCATTCATCCAGACAAGGGGTGGTTGTGTGTTCATTTTATTAACTTTTGTTGTATCAATTATTAGTTACGTTTGAAAAAGGGGTTAGAACTGTGTAGCGAAAAAACCATATTTAGGTAGGGGTAGGGATGTATTTTTCAACGAATTCTGACATCCGTTAAGTGCATGTCGTCTGGATTTTTTTTTAATATAATCTTATTGTTAACGGCAAAAATTCTTCCGGCATTTTTTCTATTTGTATACTTAAAGATTTTTGGGGGATGTTTAGGTTAGAACACGTTTTAAAATATTTTAACTTTTAATTTTTAAATATTTTCAAACATTTTCACTTTAATTTTTAATAGACTAATTTTGTAAAAAATAAAAGTGTACTAAATCAGAGAAATGAATTTGCTATTTTTTGCCGTCATTATCATAAATTTTACTTAAATAACATTTAAATATAAAATTTTAAAAAAATGTGACCTGGTAATATACATACTTATACTTGATATAAAAAAAATAATTTTACATACTGTAAGTAATTCTAATACAATTACTTGTTTTAAAAAGAAATATAGCCTATAAAAAATTTTAAAACATTTTCGCTAATACATTTTCTCAGGTATTCAGGCTGGTAGGCAAATAAATACTGTTTTATATATATATATATATATATATATATATATATATATATATATATATATATATATATATGCCGAAAGTACTCAGATATTGGACAATGTGTAATCAAACTATCACCGAAAACCAGAAAATTATAAAAATATAGAGAAAAATGGACAAAAAACCTTAACAAAAAATTTAATTGGTGCTTAAACGAACGTATCCATATTTCCTTCTTTCTGTATATATATATATATATATATATATATATGTGTGTGTGTGTGTGTGTGTGTGTGTGTGTGTGTGTGTGTGTGTGTGTGTGTGTGTGTGTGTCTGTGTCTGTGTTTGTGCCTGTGTGTATGTATCTATATGTGTGTACGCACGATTGGGTGTTGGTGAAATATTTCCGCCTTATCTAGAATGCAGTCTACAACAAATTTTGATCTTTCATCACATGGAGAAAACTTTGGCAAGAAGGTTTGGCTGCGAACTTTCAATACCTACATGTAAAGGACAACATGCCTATATCATGCATCAAGTGTTTGAAGTCTCTGAAGCATGAATATATTTACAATCTGGTGACTTAAAAAATCGGTTGCATTTAACACGTGGATAATTGCAACGCATTTTTACATCAATTTTTATCTATGCATACAACAAAAATCAATGGCTAATGCTTTTCTATGAAAAAATCATTGGCCAATGTTTTTGTGTAGGTTCTTTAACATTGCATTTTTATTGTAAAATAACTTTCAAACATTTCTTTTCGTACATTGAAGTCATTTTTAATCTGGTGTCTCTGTTTTATGAATATACAGGGTGCGATGGATAAATTGTCATCTAAATTACACAAAAATGAAAATAACACTGACATCTCGTTTTAACAGATATATTTACCAAAATTACACAAAAAATCTTGAAATACGAAAGAGTAAATTTATTCAATAAAATCGCCACTGGCTTCAACCACTGCCTCCAGACAACTTTGGGAAACTCCTGCATCTCTTCTGGATAGTCTCCTTGTTTAAGTTGGTGAATGCTGCCATAATTCTTACCCTTGGTTCATCTTTGGTGTTATAAGGAGTTTTTGCTGGTGTTTCGTTCAACTGCGCCCCACACATAATCATCAAGTGGGTCGCAGCCTGGGGAGTTGGGTGGCCAGATATACGAGGTGATGTGGTCGCAGAAATTGTCTGACAGGCATTACTGGGTTCTCCTGCTTGTGTGGCACGGTGCAGAGTCCTGATACCAGATATAGGCTCTTCCAGCAGCCACCATGATGTTGACTGGATATATCATTCAACTCTTTCCGGATCTTCTGCACTATCCTTAGATTGTCACCCAAACACTTTGAAATGTTCGCATTGGAGCTTCCGGCGCGAATGCCAAGCAGTACAGGATACCGTTTCCAAATTTCTGGTGGAGTGAATTGTGTCATGGTGCTCTTTTTCTTACAGACGGTGCAGAACTGAGTCTAATATATTGTGCGGTCGACAAAAGCAAAAACAAACAACATGCTTGCGTGAAATTAAAAATATGAAATAGCGACAATTTATCTATCGTACCTCTTTCTCTCTCTCTCTCTCTCTCTCTATATATATATATATATATATATATATATATATATATATATATATATATCTCAATACATATTATTTATATATATATGTTTCCTCTTCAGATTGAACAATTTTTGGACACACCAATTATGCGATTTCTTAGCTATACGACGTCCTATGTTTCTTTCCTCCTGTTAATGGTCAACTCAAAACTGACGATGACTCGCCAATGGTCACAAATTGCTTGCAGTGAAATTGAACTGACAACCATCATCTTCATTACAATCGTCTTTCTCTGGCTTATTGGTAAGTCAAAGCACGATAAACTACACCCGGCAGCGAGGCTTCTGATCGGGAGATTGGAGGCTTCGAGGAGCGTAGAACCACCTCTTAATTGCTGTTTTTCCCGCGTCCACCCTGACTCGAGATGGTAGCACGTGTTAGGGCCCCAGCTATGGCCAAATAGTGAACCCCAAAGAAAAACAAAACACTATGAAAGTGTACATTTTATAGTAAAATTAACAGCAATATAGTTTTATGTAAAAAATTACCAACAATACATATTTATAGTAAAATTACCAACAATACATATTTAGAGTAAAATTACCAACAATACAATTTTAAAGCAAAATGATCAGCAATACAATTTTATAGCAAAATGACCAACAATACATTTTATCTGTAGCTGAAGACATGAAATTGCATTCAAAATATATTTAGTTGAAGCCATAAAATTGTGTTCAAAATATTTAGATTTCGGCACTAAATATCCCCCAAAGGCTGATATGCCGCTAAACAAATTCAACCAACGTAAGTCAAAACTGCTTGCTCTGGGTGCCAGCGATCCATTTTGTGCTGATAAAATCCAAGTTATAGATAAAAGTTAAGAATCTGTTGTTTTTATTTGTTAGTTTTTTTTTTGGGGGGGGTTACTCTTTTGGCCGATGTATACTTCGGTCTTACTCAGAGGTATAATTTATTCATGACTAAAAGGAATTCTAGATCCGGTTGTTAAACGATTCTTGTAGATAATCTAAAAAAAAACGTGATTAGTAGTTTGAAAAGTTCTTGGGATAATAATTATGTATCAACCCAGGTTTTCAGATGATATCCATCAACAATTTTCCTCGTTCCACGATTTTATATTCCGTTAATAATTATTTATACTATTTATATTCGGAATAATGTCTTTAGCTTTGTTTTTGTTATCACAACGTTTCGGCCACTGTACATCCCTCCGGCTTTCATCAGGTGTGTATCGATCCGGGATACCAACAGGTAATTCCGAACTAAAAACCTTTTATTTAATTTACTGGGGTGGACTCTTCTCGTTCCACTGCCCATGTTTCGGTATATCTCGTCTAGTTCTTATTTTTAGCACTGTTCACTTATTGCTCGTCCTTTTTCCGCCGAGTCCAAGTACACAGTGCCCAGCCCATGGATTGAACTCACAATTACTATGTCACCAATTATTCTGTCATTGCTGCTGCTGCTGTTGTTTGTTATGCTTGACTGCAATCACTTTTTTCTTTTTAAATTTAAAAAAAAAATGATGTCTGTTAATTTATTAGAGATGTCACGTTTCAAAATAACTGTTGAAGCGTGTGTGGGTGCTGAATGTATGTATGCGAAAGAGATTGTTGAATTGTGTGATTTAAACGAGAGACAGTTGAAATGTGTAAGTGTAAGACTATTTAATGCGTGCATAAAAGAGTGAGTGTTGAATTGCTTCTGTAATGTGAGCGTCTTTGAGAGAGAAAGTGATACCCTTGACATTTCTATGTGTGGGTGGCTTTCTAAGCCGTCAATGACTACGCTAGTACGAAGTCACAAGTCATCGTGACTAAGGGTTTAAGCGTATTGGCGTTCAAACTAATGATCATGCAAAATTATGGTTCTCTCCCAGAAACTGTAACTAAGGTCTGCTCAGCAGAGTTACAGCGGGAAGTACAGGTGGGCACTGTCGGTGTTGAACAAAAGCAAATGTGACTTAGCAGGAGTCAGCAACAGGGCTATCAATATATATATATATATATATATATATATATATATATATATATATATATATAAGTACACACACACACACACACATATATATATATATATATATATATATATATATATAGAGAGAGAGAGAGAGAGTACACATATACATATTATATATATATATATATATATATATATATATAGTTTATGCAAACTTAGGTAATCCGTATGGGTAGACCTGAGGAGGATGATATCCAGAGAGCTCAATGTAAAATTCAGAGCAGATATGTTTGAATAAAAACAGACCACGTTAAGATTCTATGTATAAGCTATTTCACCATAACCCCTGTAACAGGGTTCTGGACCCAGTTAAAGGGTTGTGGTGAAATAGCTTAATATATGGAATCTTAACGTGGTCTGTTTTTTTATTCATATATATATATATATATATATATATATATATATATATATATATATAGAGAGAGAGAGAGAGAGAGAGAGAGAGAGACGGTTGAAATGTGTGTGTATGTGAATGTTGAAATATATCTGCGATAGAGAAATTATTTAACTGAGAGAGGTAGAGAGAACGTTAATGCGTGTGTATGTAGGTTTGTCAGAGAGATAATTGAGGTTTATGTGTGTGTGAGAGAGATAGAGAAAAAGAAAGAGAGAGATTTTTGAAATGTGTATGTTGGAATATATGAGCAATAGGGAAACTATTGAACTGAAAGAGAGAATGTTGAAGTGTGTGTATGTAGGTGTGTCAAAGAGACAATTGACCTTTGTGTGTGTGAGAGAGAGAGAGAGAGCGAGAGAGAGAGACTGCTGAAATGTGTGTGTATGTGACTGTAGAAATATAGGAAGGCAGACGAAAACATACACGAAAGATTAGAATATCTCAGAAGTAGTCAAATGAGTTCTTCTCGAAAAACACGAAAGGTCATTTCGTATTCAACCTACCATGTACGTATCGACAAGTCGTGGTTTTACTAACAAAGTGAAAATGTAGTTAATTACTGGTGTTAACAAAAGTGGATGTCTGTGATTTCCGACGTGTGTATGTAATTTTTTTTTTTTTTTTTATATATATTGCGACACAAATTGTAATTGCCCTGTCGGCAGAGCTAATGAAAAGTGCTAAGAACTCCCAAGGCAAAAAGAACTACCTTCCGGGTGTATACTTACTGACTCGGATACAAACTGGAACTGTGGGTATCTTTCTGACTCGAATGAGGAAATGTGTTTATGTTTTGACACGAGGCCAAATCGGACACGTGCCTAACTTTTTGATTCGTATGCTAATTGGATCGCTGTCTACTTTTTTGACGTGAATGTAAATCGGACCCATGTCTACCTAGAGAGGCACGGTGGAGTAATTAGTAACGGCTCGGATTGAGGAATCGGTAGAGCCGAGTTCGAATTCCAGTCGAATCCAATGCATTCACGTGCGTGGATGACAACTGGTCTACCGCAGAAATGAATGGCAACCTACTGTGAGATAAAATCTGCCTCGTCAGTCATGCCGAAAGATACATGATTGCCTAAGTGTGTATCACGCATGGTACATAACTGACTGTCTCTCTTTTGAAAACCGGACCTACGTCTGACATTTTTACTCGATATCAAAATGGACTCGTGTCTTCCCTTTTGATTCGATTGTAAATCGAACCTGCGTGCACATATTTGCTGAAGTACAAATCGGACTTGTGTGTACCTTAATCAACTCGTACACACCGGACTTGAGTTTACATTTTAACTCAAGTACAAATCGAACTTGATTTTTTTACTCAAATACAACCTGGACCTGTGTCTAACTTTCTGACTCAATTAAAAACCGGACCTTTTGAACTTGAGTGCAAACCGGTTCTGTGCCTATCGTTTTGGCTTGAGTGGTAGGTGGATTTGTGTCTAGCTATTTTACTCTTGCGTAAGCCGGGTCTATGTCTACCTGGAGAATGGAAATAAACTAATAAATAAAATAATAATAATAAAAATAAATAATTTAATTTTCCCATAATGCAAAAGAAAAAAGAAAACCAAAAAGGGTTTCCGGTCACGTGTGAATTTCATGATCCCACTTCAGGAAAGGAGATGATCGCTCTCTTTTCACTTTTCAACCATTGAGTTCGAACTTGTTTGGTAACCGTGTCAACGAAGGGTAGATTCAGCCATCTGTCAACATCAGGCTAACTTGCGGTTGATCATTGTCTATACATTTGCATCTTTGTACCTACGTGCGTTAATATACATTGGCGATTCATTTTTTACTCAAGTCTTCGTTTTATTTATTGCGGTCCGCCGACATTCAAATTCTGTTAGCAGAATGAAGTCAAATATTACCCTCTATAACTTTTCGAAGGATTCATTTTGATTTTTTGTCATATAAATCTTATAATCAATATTAAATAACAAGGTTTTATTCAATATTGCCACTAATTTATGGCAACAAATCTAACAAAAGATATTTTAAATTTTATTTCAGGAATGATTTGGGAAGAAACGAAACAGTTGTACGAAGCCGGAGCGGTCAATTATTTCTCGTCTATTTGGAACATAGTGGATTCTTGTATGCTCAGTCTCCTACTCTGTTCTGCTATCCTTGACTTAGTGGTGGGCTTAAAACTGAAAATTATCGTTCAAGAAAGACATACGACAGTCATCAATGCAGTCAACGTGACCTATAGCCTTCCAATTTGTGACTACAATCCATATTCAGGAATAGGGGCTTTTTGCAATATACATCGTGATTATGATTTTATCGGTGAGTGATTTCTTTTTACTTATGCTTTTCGTTTTTTGTTCCCTAGCTTCTTAATTTTGAAGCGTATGAAACTATCTTTTTAATAGAGCTACTGAATATTCGTTTTAGAAACCGATGTAATGTAAAACAGAAACGAATAATTTAATAGTAGGTAAAAAACAAACAGAAAGAAAAAAAAAATCTTACTTGAAGCTTTTATTTTAGTTTTAATTTTAAGCTAAATAGACTCTAAATCTAATATTTCCAATATGCAAACTATTTTCCTGTATTTCAAAAACTAATTAAAAACTAATTTAAATTGACTGGAAAGATTATTTTTTGCCATTATAACTGATTCGTGTCATTTTTTGTTGTCTTTCATCGCAATGTAACTCTTTATTAAAACATCTTCTTAAATAAAATGTACTTTTTTGAAACTTTATTTGAGGAATATTAGCTGATTTAAAATATAATTAATCTGATTTGATCCAAATATCATTTAAGTTTAAAAAATTCGCAGAAATGCATTTTTTAACACGACAACAGCTATGTTGACGTGTTTGACAAGATGATGATAAGTCTAATGTTGTTCTACGGAGGCTTAATCTGAAAAACATAATCGAAGAAAATGACGTGAGCGCCATTTTTATCTAATTTTTAAATACTCAAGACAGACATGAGGTCACCAGCAGAACTGCTGAATTCCAGAAAATACTAAACCACACTACCCAGTAAGATAAATCCCCCAGTAGATCAGGAGGATACCAGAAAGCTAGCCTCTAATCAAGACAATGGTAAACAATATAACAATAGAAATGTACCCTCCCTACATGAATTATTCAAAGGGAAACATATACGCAAGACCCAATAAGGAAAACCTGGAGCCCAAGACAAATCATTACCACTGCAAATTCCCTACGATCCTACATCATTAGAGATGAATCCATCTCAGGTGAAACAGAACACATATTCTATCAACACCAGAACAAACAAGATACAAAAACAAAACAAAACATTCAGACAACCCCAAACATAATAAGGGAAGACAACTCCATTCAACAAACAGACAACTACACTTCCCAATTACAGACAGATACAAAAAGAGCAACTAACACTGGTGACATGCTTGATAAAACCAACAAGATGGAGAAAAACATCCTAACATCCACGAGGTTTACATAAAACAAAAGAATAACTTAAACGAGAAAGAGGGATGCTACATATAATGAGAAAAAAAAAAAGGAAATAAGCGACGACGCATGTGCCGGAAGAAGTGTAAAAAATGAGAAGCAGGACTTTTTTATAATAGATGACGAGGCAGAGAAATGTGCAACCCGTATGTATGAAATAAATATTGTTAAGCATCAAATATAGATTTTAGTTTTGTTCCATAACTACGAATAATAAATAGATCATATATATGAGTTCCACTTGAGATCTGGGGTGATCTTGAGACCCAATGGACGTTCAAGTCAAGGAGTCTCCTTAAGTGAACACCCATCTATCATTCCACCATTTTTAGCAATAGAACGGATATATGAGTTCCACTTGAGGTCTGGGGTGATCTTGAGTCCCAGTAGACGTTAAAGGCAAGGTGTCTCCTTAAGTGAACAACCATCTATCATTCCATCATTTTTTGCAATAGATCGGATATAAGAGTTCTACTTGAGGTCTGGGGTGAGCTTGAGTCCCAATAGGTGTTCAAGGCAAGGAGTTTCCTTAAGAGAATACCCATCTATCATACCAACATCTTTAGCAATAGATCAGATATATGAGTTCCACTTTAGGTCTGGGAAGAGATTGGATGCCAATAGACGTTCAAGGCAAGGATTCTCCTTGAGAAAAGGCTCCACCATCATGATAGGTGAACGTTCAGTGTATTGGTAAAAGATGCTTATCCCTTTTGGTCTGAAGGCAACTACAACGATCTGTCAATTTTGTTGACTGTTCATCAGGAGATATTTCAAATCTCATTTCTAGAAATCTAGATAGTATTTTTATTTCTTATTGTGAATTTACATTGCCTACGATCCGTCATTTTTTTTTTTTTTTTTTTTTTTATGGACGGTAAGAGACTACCTAATACAGCCGTCGGGACTTTGATGTAAAGCAACTTTGATGGCATTGGAATAAAAAAAGTAATTGATACCAAAAATGGGAAAAGTTCTCCTTCTTTTTCTACTATTATTAATCCTACTACTACTAATAAAATTCTTTAAGGAAAAAATTGTCCGTTTTAAAGCTATACATTTTCTTTTAATCTCCATAAATTAATTATATATCAGTTATCAACACCGTGGGAATTTCTTCGAATTCAGATTATTATTATTACACTGTTGTCGTCGTTGCTGTTGTCGTGGAGTAGACCTTATTTACAGTTTCTGAAAGAGATCACATAATCTGGTGTGATCAACATATAGGTGTTATCGGTGCAGAAATGTAATCAGCGTGCCGAGTTCAAATTTTGATCGAATTCGTTGTGTTCAGTTTCGTAGAAATTCCTTATGGAAAAGTATGAATAAATCTCTTGTTTCCCTAGCTATCGGTTAAATAACAGGACAACTCAGAATGTAAAACCAGTTAGGCAAGGGGCGAGAAAATTCGCTCGGTAAAAACCTCAGCGGCAACACCTATCGTAGTAAAAGCACTCAGAGATGATTGGCATTAAGGTGGAGGAGGAGGGTGTTGGCTCTGCTGTTGTGTATTTGTTTGTTGCTATCTGACACTGTCAGTCTTTTGATAGTGACGCTCTTTTACTAAACAAAAGACAATTAATTCCTCCCTCTTCTACCTTCTTTTCAGTTGAATGGAACCCTGTATGGATTCCGGATCCAGAAATGTTATCTGATATTTGCTTCTCCATTGGTATAGTGTTGTCCGTGTCGAGAATTGCGTTTCTTATGCCTTGTAACGAAACCTTCGGGACAATGTTGGTCTCTTTCTACCGTACCTTGATGGACTTGTTTAAACTCTGCGGTATGTTTGGTTTGGTGATCCTGGCTTTTACTTGCGGCATCGCCGCTCTCTACGACGCCATGCAATGCCAGTCAGAAGCTTTCGGAAGGTAAGTAACGGCCTTTAACCTTTGAACGATAAAACTATGCACTTTCAAATATGTGACCCGGTTGTAGATATTTACTCAGCTCAGTGAAGATCAAGATTATTAAACCACGGTAAATAGCTTGCTTTGTTGTTGTTGCTAGCTAATCCCTGTTGTAGACGCCTGCTCGTGTACATTTGTATTTATTCAACACCCACAGAGATAACTTGTAATTTATACTGCAACTATGTGCAGCAGACCTTAATAGCAGAGAGGAACCCGGACGAAGCTTTGCCGAAGGGCAAGGTTTCGTTCGGGGAGGTAGACAGGGCCTGAACCCGTCTAGTAGGGTCCAAAAAGGCTATATTTTTGGCCGAGCCTACGGGCTCGGGGATACCCACATTAAACCGTCCTTGTGCCATATTCAATCCTTGTGGGTGGGTTGATAAATAGCGACCTTAATTGCAGTTTCTGGAAGAGAGCACATAATCTGGTGTGACCAACAATTTTGAATACGGCCGGCTAGTACGGTCAAACATCAGCCACGATGACTTAACGATTATCGACAAGTTCCGAACATCCAATTTAACTCACAAGGCTTAGAATAATCCGTCATATAATCTTCAGGCACTTCCCAATAGTACTGGGATCGTCTCCTCGAGCAAATATCAAGAAATCTCCTTAAATAATCGTCCATGGTGAGATTTGAACCCACGTTTAATAGATCGCTAACTTTGGGAAATGTCTGAGGAACATACCACAATTTTTTACAAACCTTGTGAGGGAAACTGGTGAGACGAAACTTTTCGGAAGCCGCCGAGGATTGTGCTCGCCCCAAACTTACAAGTCATCGTGACCGAGGGCTTGAATGTATTGGCTTTGTTCAAACTGGTGATACTCGGTCAAAACTAAATCCCAGCAATAATATACAGAAAGAGGTTACTAACCATCGACCTAGTTACTAAATGTTTGCTTATTTTAACATAGTCTGACTAAAGGTTACATTTGTCGAGTACCTAGTCTGTTTTGAACCCACATCCCGAGCAATGATCAGGAGAAATTAATTTTTTGATCATCAATCACAAAAGATGTCACAAAGCCCCAGCAAGGACGATACTCACTATATTAGCCAAGGTTTGTAAGAGTAAGTTTGTTAACCATCACTGTATACGAGGCTTCCAAGTGTCTCAATCATACATGATGCACTGGCAATTGTTGCCCAGGATATGCGGTGGTATAATGGATAGCGGATAGGAATAAGAAATCGCAGGACCGAGTTCGAATTCCAGTCGAGTTCGTTGCATTTACTTACGCGTAAATACCATTGGGGAGGGAATGAATCCATCTCTTTCCCACTATGCTGCGAGTTAAATAGTAGGACAAACTGGACTCTAAAACCTTGGTTGGTAACCAGTCTAGGAGAATGAAAAATCTGAATTTAAACCAGCCCGAAGAGAGTTGGGATCCGTCAGGCTATCTTGCCCAAGTCACATCACTGCTGCTACGGATTACGGGACTCGAGATCATGATCGTGATGGGCAGGTGGTGTAATGGATAGTGGCTCGGAATAAGTAATCGGAGAGCCGAGTTCAAATTCTACCTGGTGAAAAAAAACAAAAGAACAACAACAAAAAAACAACAAAAAAAACAAAAAACAATACAAAAAAAAAAACGAAAAAAAAACGGTATTAACATCCTGCTTAAGACTCCAAATTTGTATGATATATTTGATATCATTTCTTTTCAGTCCTGGTGGAACTATGGGATATCTCGTCTGGGGTATGTTTGGGATGGGAGAGTCCAATGCACCAGATCTGAAAGACAACGGAGCCCCACTTCATTCCATAGTCAACAATATGGAAGCAAAAAAAGACACAATCGTCGCGTTTGGTTACGCTTTATACGGAACATTCATTTTTGCTTCTACAATCGTCCTGATGAATCTTCTTATTGCTGTCATGGCGAACACTTTTCAGGAGATCCAGGTATGTTGAAATCATGTCTGATTACGTCATAATCATATAGTATAGTGGTTAATTGATAGTAAACTGACATTCAAAGTTGGGTGATTGGTTGCAGAGTTCTTGAATGACAGTTTTTTTAACGTCAGATCGACACAACTTTGGAAAAATGTTCCACTCGTTAAAAATAATGTATTTTTTTAATACTAATTTTTGTTAAATAGCATGCATTAGATATTCCTCTGTCCATGGCATTTGTCAGAATCGAAAAATATTGATATTGGTAAAAATTATTTTAGAAGTTGTGTGTGCTGATATCAATATAAATATAGTGTCAATTTGACCCCTGATTGTTTAAAATTGTTATCTGCCCCTTCTTTCATATTTAGTTCCAGATTTCAAAAATGCAAAAAAGCAAAAAACAAACAAAAAAAAAACATGCTGCGATGAAAATTGATTAACTTAGAAAAGGTCAAATTCTTTAATTATTTCCTAAGAATATCCAATATTAATATTTATTCTTAAATGGCTAATCAGGAAGTGTTAAATGAATAGCAGGCTCGAGCTTCAGGGATCATCACAAAAATATTACCTCTCCCCCGGGCGGGAGTTGGTGTCATTACCTCCCCCCGAGCCTGGGGTATCCCCAAAAGGTTAAATACTAAGGAGCAATTTTTGTTCGACTACCAAATCAAACTTTAAACTCGACATTGTGGCACATTCTGTACAAATAAGAGCATGGATAAATATCTACACAATATTAAGGGAAGACGCAGTTATTAATGACGTAAGTAATGGATAACGTCTCGGATTGAGGAATCGGAGAGCCGAGTTCGAATTTCAGTTAAATCTATTATATTCACTTACGTGCTAATACCCTTGGGAAAGGTATGAATTCTCCTCTTCTCCCTCAACTATGGATAAATAGCAGGACAGACCGGGTTCTATAGCCTTGGGCGGCAACTGGTCTACCGCAGAAATAGCAACCCACTACGAGAAAAAAAATTGCCTCGTCAGTCATGTATCGAAAGATACATGATCGCCTAATCGTGTATCACGCATGGTACATAACTGACTGAAGCACGGTTTCAAATTTGACCATTTTAAATAAAAACAAGAGAAAGATAATTCTTCAAGAAGTCGGGGATCGATTTGATACTGTATTTATATTATATACAGGACCCCTTTCTAAAATGGTAAAAAACAAAATACTTTTTTATTCAGACAAATGGTATGGATAGAGGATGGTCTAATGAATTCTAATAAACGAAATTTCTACATTTCTTTATTGATTGATTTGTTATTTTACAGCTGATCAATCTTTTGTAGGTTTTTTAAACCCATGAAATATTTTAGATTATAATAATTTTGTAGAGATAATAATGATTTTCCTGATACATGTCCTACTAATTGACCCATAGATGGGGGGAAGAGATGACCATTTATCGGTATTTTCGTGTAAATAACGAACCCGGCTGGAATTGGAACATAGATCTCCGATTTACAATTCCGAGCCGTTATCTATTACACCACCCGCGCATCCAAGTATACAGCACCTGGTATTCCCAAGCGGTCATCCATCTAGATACTGATAGACTCGACGTTGCTTAACTTTGATCGTACGAGAACCTGTGTTTCAACGTAATGTGGGCATAAACCACATCGTTCAGCATCTAAACAGCTACATTTTCTTATGTAAGCCCCACATTTTTCATGAGCGGATTATAGTTTCCCAAAGTAGTGTCGCCATGTTCTTTCAAGACATAGTTGTTAATGGTTCTCGACATATTCCTTTTTTTTTATCATATGTGAGTTGCTATGTTTTCTTCACGATTTTGAATTCAAACTTTCACTCTCCTAGACTGAGGCTAAAGAATCCAGTCTCTCCCGCTATTTAACAAGTAGGCTTTTCCCAGAGACAATATTCCGAAAATGAACGTAGCAGACGAGACCCAAATTTGAAGTAGGCTTGCCTATTCCACTTTCTGCAACGTTAACCATTACATTACCCGGACCCCACAAAGGTCTTATGCAGAAGCAGAAAGTATGCCACCGATGTGCAGTTTTAGGGCAAATTGATTTTTCAAGGTTTTTAGAAAATCAACACGGCACACTATGTAAAAGCTGAAGTTTTATGTGATAATTACTGACACCAAAAATTAGATTCATAAATTTTATTAATTTTTGAGCAATTAGCTTTAAACTTTGTTTGAAAAATATATAGAAATACCTAATTTCCGCAGGTTTTTGCCGACAAACTAATTATCAAACTTTTACTATTTCAAGAATAAATCTAAATAAATTTGCATTAGATACATTGGATCGAAAATATATTCAAACCAGAATTCTAATTACGAATCATCACAAGCAAAATATGCAGTGTTTTACTGTATTCGATAAGTAAAGTTTAGTTTAGTTTTTCGTTCCGCTTGTGCTGTTAGGTGTTGCGGGGAGACACAGTCGTCTCTCAGCAACAAAGTGAGTGGCCTGGAGGAGATATATCTCGTTGGCTCTGAGAGTATCTGCCACTGAGTCGCTCTAGCGTGTTCTTGGTCTGCCTCCCACTCTCCGGACAGAGTTTCTGAGGGTGTATGCTCGTAGGGCTGGTTGCTTGATAGGCATAGAAGTGAGGTGTCTAAACCACTTGATCCTCTGTCATTCCAACCCCCCCCATCCTCATCGTGGGAGGTGGAAGCAGGTAATGCTAGCCAACGGAGCACTGGTGAAGCTGTGACTGGCTTAGCAGGCCGACGGTGGATAAAAATTGCTCAAGGAAACAAAAGGAGATACAAACGGACTAATCAAGGCGTAAGTAAAAACTGTGTAAAAATTGTAAAAGATTACAAAAAACTACACAATTGTTAGATCATAATCAATAAAAGTAAAAAATAGACAAATTCAGACTATAAATTGGGAAGGAGAAAGTGTTTTGCAGTCATTCCAATAAGGCTTGGAAACAACAGTCAGTATAACTGTCCGAGTCTAAGTAGTAAGAGGAGTCAGTAAGAAATCTTTCGGTGTCTAGAAGAACCTTCACGAAAGAAAAAGTGAAATAATTTTTGTAAAACACCTGAATAATTTCTGGAATATAAAATTTCGGATTCATATTTGTTGTGGCCTTGTTAGGGCAAATAGAGGAATTGAGTTAAACCAATATATTAACAGAAACAGTAATACAAATATATACAAACGAGAGTGTTACAGCAAGAATGTTCGGTCCGACTGTCAGAGCTGACCGCTGGAACCCCCCCCACCAAAAAAGGCAGTACCTGCTCCTATTTATAGCTGGGAGAATCCATGCGTGCGTGGGTAAATTACCATAACAATATTTTATCTGCTTTTTTTCCTTGTACTTTCTTTTTTGGTGAATCAGTTGAATATTTTTACATGGCCGAAGGTTCACTCTTAAACCTTCCACATACTCATTTTGTACTAACTGAGACGAGAATATGTTGGCCAATCGTCACAAAGTTGAAGAAGAGACTTGAAACGACAGAGATGTAGTTGTACCGATGGATACTGAGAATACTATGAACAGAATAAATCAGCAACGAGGAAGTTGTAAGGAAAATAGGCAGTACATGGACACATAGAAAAACAAACAGCAAAGCTGTGACACATAATGCGGAAAGAAGGCCTGGAAAAACAAACACTCACAGGAAATACTGAAAACAAGAGAAACTGGAGAAATAGCGAGCTTTTATGAATTGATAACAGTACAGAGACAAAAAGTGATAGTAAAAGGCCAAAAGTTACTTAGAGTCAGGAAGTTGTGGAGAGCTATGATTGGTCACGTCCTGGCATATAATAGTTATCATATGTCAGTTAAGTGCCACACACGTTTTGGGCAATCATATTTCTTTCGATTCATGACTGACTAGGATTTTTCTCGCGGTTTCTTTCTATGGTAGACTGCTGTTTCTTTCTACAGTTGACTGGTTGCTAACCACAGGTATAGAACCCAGTCTTTTCTGTTATTCAACCTATAGCCTGTAGGACAAATGATTACTTCATACCTTTCCCAAGGGTATTGCGTATAAGTGGATGTAACGAACCCGACTGGAATTTGATCTCTGCTTTTCGAGTTCTAATTACAAGCCCATTACACCAAAACGCACATCATTTTTGTCGTTAAATGAATTGCTCCGAAAAAAGATTCTAGTAGCAATAAAAGTAAGTAGTAACTTAATTTGATATATTATCGCTATAGTTCTTTTTTATTTTATTTCGATTAAAAAAAAACTTTGTAAAAGGATTGGTAAATAGGATTGTACCTATTTGAACATTTTAAGCAGAAGAGAAATAAAGTGTATAGTAAAGAAAGAGACAGGCGGAAGTTGACTACTGATCACGTGTCGTAGAACAACACAATACAACAATATGGTGGCCCCGCCGAAAGGATGCTTAAGTCGCTTGGATGAACCGGAATTTGTCGAGACTTGGATCTGATATTTTGCAGCCTAGACTATGGCTAAAAAATTGAATGACAAAAAAGCAAAGAGTGGGGAAAATGAAATAGCCAACCTCTTTCTAGCTTTGGCAGGTTGTGAAGCTATAATGAAAATTTCTGTTATGGCGTACCCCAAACAATTGGATAATTTTACTTTCGTCGAAATTTCAGGAATTATAAAAAGAAGTTTACGACCTAAAAAGTAACTTGTCATAGCGGAAAGAATCAAATTTCTATCCATTAAACAGAAACAAGATGAATCTTTTATGCAATATCTTCACTGACCAAGAGAAGCTAGCAGATTCTAAGAATTTGAGAAACTTGGAGCTCAAAATTTGACTATTAAGGATGAATTGATTCAGTTACAGTTGATTGAAGGTATGGCTGACACATTTCATAAATATAAGATATTGGGACAATTACAATTGAATAATTTGTCTCTAACTGCATGTGTGGAATTGTCAAAAAATATGATTCTGCTGAGGATAACGTTGAAACGTACAGTATAAAAAAGAACGCAAGAAATGCAAATATTGTAACCATGAGCATGAAATTGGCAGAAAAAGTGCCGCTTTTGGAAAGATTTGCAGAAGAAAAGATCATTTTCAGTCTGCAAAGTTAAAAAGACAGTATAGTAAAAAGTAGAAAAAAGAGAATTGATGACGTTTTTTTCAATTCAAAGACTTAAGGAAAAGAATTTTTTTGAAGAAATTTTCCTTGGGTTTTGGAAAAATTATGCCATTTCATGTAAGAATTCTTTTGAAAAAATTACATGAAATGGCGTGACTTTTCCAATGCAAGTGGATACGGGGAGTGAAGTCACTCTGATCGCAAGAAATTTCTTGGAACAAATGAGTAAACCAAAATTGAGAAAACGTCGTTTGAAATTGAGACAATTTGATGGATCTTTTATATAAACTTTGGAATACTTCAATAGAAATTTTCAAAACTGGTGATTGATTTGAAATTATTCCCATTACAATAGTATAATGCAAAAAAAAAAAAAATCATGGTCTAGTAAGTAAGAAGGTCCTAATAAAGTCGGACCATAAAACTCTAGAGTTTATTTTTAACTCTAGAGAGGAGCTTCCAGCATTTGAAGGTGGGCAATAAAATTAATGACATATGATTCTGACATTGAGTACATAAAAGAAATACACATGTTGATGTGCTGTAAAGGTTACAATTTAATAAAGATCAAAAAGAAAAATGGAAATCTAGTTTGAAGAAATATTGCATTGGGTTGAAAATAACATTATCTCTACGAAGATTGGTATCGGAAAATCTACAGGATCCAATATTAAGAAATATTGCCGAGAGAATAAGAAGAAACAGGGGAAGTAATTGTTCCAAAGCTTAAAGACCTTATAAAGAAATAAAGCATAACTTAACGATGGAAAACAGTGTTATATGTAATGAAGATGTGATAGTGTCACCAGAAACAGAAAGAAGAGATATTTTAAAAGTGTCCAGGATGATGTGCATTGTGGGATAACAACTACGCGGAGATTAAAGTTGGGGGCATGGTGACCAGGGTATTATCGCAATATAGAAAGATATGTACACAAATGCTCAAAATGTGCAAAAATAAAGCATTTTCGATAAAGAAGAATACACTCATGGTCTAAAGGAACAGAACCCTTGTCTTCTGTTCATATTGATGGCAGGGGACCATTTCAAATTATAGTAGACTAGTTCTCTGGATTTTTTTTAAGCATTTCACCCCTAGCAAGCCGGAAAGCCACTAGCACGCAAGGGGTTATAGAGGATTTGGAGCGAGAGCAGGTAGGAATGATAGAGGAAAGGATGAGGAGAAGGATAGTGGATAGATCAAGGCAACTGGAGATGTCGATTGACATTACATTTGAATAGTTGGAGATTATAGCTATCAGGAAAACAGGAACAGGGAAGGGAGTTCCACAGGCGAGAGGTGCGAGATATGAAGCTATTGGAGTAGAGGAGGCGGCTACATTTAACAGTTTCAACAGTGAAAGGGTGAGAGCGGGATGCCAGCCTCGTAGGATGCTTGAATTCGCGAAGTCTTGGGACCAGCGAAAGCAGCTCTTCGGATCAATTACCATGAAAGTATTTGTAAAAAAGACAGAGAGAGGCGACGGCACGTCTGTGAGAGAGCGTCTGCAGACGAGATGCCAGATCAGGGCCAATTATATTGTATATCCGTCTCTGGATCTTATCAAGAACCCCGAGGCAAACAGAAGGGGCTCCAGACCATATATGGCAGCAATACAAAGTCGTTAAAGATAGAAAAACTACTACAAAAAATACAAAGAAGGATATTTTCTAGAAATGGGGGTACCCAAGACATTAGCATCAGACAATGCACCACAATTTTGTGATGAAGATCTATGTAATTGGTTGAGGTAGACTGACTGCAGAAAGAATGGTGCAGACAGTAAAAGTGGGATTAAAAGCATTACCCTAAGTAGCGATGTCATAGACGGTTACTTACCAAGGTTATCGAACGATTACACAGACAGATTGGAAACCCTATCTGCGTTAATAGGAAGACAAATGGGATTTTTCATTAACAATATCTTACTCGACAAATGAAAAGTAAAGTAGCAAGTCCTGAGAGAGCTAAGTTCATCATGCAAAGCAGACATAACACGGCTATTATATCAAAGAAAGGAAAAAGCCTAATGGCCCATTCTGTCCCTTTAAGACCCATAATTGAAGCGGAAGATGTTGTGATGGAAGAGTATCTTGACAGAGAAGAAAGGATGAGTTCTTCAGATCATGATAATGCAATAGAAGATGAGCCTAAGGATGATAGCGGGAGTGACTCAGACACGGAAGAAAATGAAATGAAACCAACATCTCCATTAAAAAGAACAGAAAATAAACTTCAATGAGGAGAGGAGGAAAGAGGTTGTAGAAGTTCGAGAACAACCAAAAGCATTAAACCACTTCGGTTCAGGGAGGAGCAGTGGAGTGGTAAATAGGATTGTACCTATTTGCATGTGTTAAGTAAAATAGAAATAAAGTGTATAGAAAAGCGAGAGACAGGCGGAAGTTGACTACTGATCACGTGTTGTCGAACAACACAACACAAAAGACTTATTTACTTTTGTTCATTTCTAACAAAATAGCGTTCATTATTTGAACAGAACTCTTTTATTTTGATTTAAAGAATTATTTACTTTTGTTCAATTCTAGCAAATCCATGTTCATTCTTTGAAGAGAAATTTGATTTCATTTCAGGACGAGCAAGAAAGCGAATGGAAATTTTCTCGCACCGAACTCTGGTTGACGTTCATCGAAGGTGGCTGTCCACTGCCCCCACCTTTCAACATCCTCCCCGGCGCCAAACAAGTAAAGACAATTTGTCACAAAATTTTCAAATTCTGTTACGATAACTGCCCTAAAGATAAAGATGTCTCTGTTATAATGGACAATACGGTGAGAAGTTTTCGATATTTACCCATTTTCTTTTGAATTCACATTCAGTGTCAATTTTGAATGGTAAAAGATCGTTGTTTACTTCCATTAGAATCTTAATCGAATTTTATGGATAAATGCATAAACACCTTAATCTTTAAAGCGCGGGAGTAAACTAGGACTGTAATTTTAGGACATGTTAATATTTAAACAACTGGTTTGAAGTTCTCAATTGAAGCGTTGTAATTATTTAAATTTTATCCTTGTAGTAGAAACAAAAGACAGCACCCATCCTTGAAAAATATTAAGACAATAAGTTCACGCGAGACTTTGTGAGAAGCAGACGACAGAGAACGCGCAACGATTAGGGACTGGGGTAATCGTTTTGTTTTGTTTTTCGCTCCTGGCTGGTGGATAGTTGTGAGCTGTTGTGACTCGGTGGTAGTTCTGGGCCATTGTCGCTAACGTTGAGGTGTCATATCTGGTGTTCCCGGCGAACTTGTTTGTCACTGACGGTGGACATTTTGCCAGCACATTTGGTTTTAATCCTCATCTTTGTTGTTTCGTTTTTTTGTTCAGTGACTTCTCGACTGTATTTTGCATTCAAACATCTTTTTCAATCTCCACATCGACAACATTCATCTAATGAACAAAGAAGGTCGGAGAGCCTTCGGTATGACTGCTAAAAATACTCCCCGCCAAATTTATAGATAAATCCTATAGATGCATGTTATGAATTTTTCCTAGTCAATAAAAATTGATAATTCCTGTTTTTGCTCACGCATCTTTTCTTTCTTGCCTTGATGTCAAAAGTATATAACCACTTGACTGTATCCCTTTTTCGTGTGAACACTTACTATTTTCTTGATTTTTTTTTCCCTTTGTTATTGCCAGTAATTAATCTGGTCTGGTGCTTCTGCTATGTATTTAGAGATTCGTGACAAAGAAGAATCTGCAATGTTATTGACTTGGCATCTCGGCTTCAGTCACTTTCCCACTGCCGTAAAAAAAGCCTCCCTCCGCTTTTTCCATAAATATTTCCATGGTAATTGTTCTGGTGATCTTTCTTATCTAGTACCTCGACTATACGAATTTAACTGCTATACTAGATTGGCAGCTAGGTCTCATCATTTGATCATTACAGTCGAAATGGCATAAAATGGTATAAAAGTAACCGTAAGTTCTATGCTAACAGTTTCTTCTCTCGGACTTCTCGCTTGTGGAACTCTCTTCCGGCTTCTTGTTTTTCAGTCAAGTTTAATCTTCAAAAGTTTTAATCCAATGTCAATCGTTATTTCTCTTTAATACGGGCTCTTTTTTATTGTTCTCTTTCCTTAATGTCATTTTCCTCATATTTTTTCAAACTCAGTAACCATTTGTGTCTTAGTCGCTTCACCGCCTTGCTTAGTGTGAAATACTAAAAAACAAAAGTTACTCCGCTTCTTCCTCTCCTTATTATGAGTGAGAAGATTGGAAATTCCGTTTAATGATGCTTGCTTTCTCAACTGAAACAAAGTTATGGTTCAACAGATGTGAAAAACGTGATTGTACATAATTTTAACTAACTGAATTTTTAATTAAGATCTGTATCTGCTAATTGGTTAGGATCATAGAATTCATATTTAAGAGTCACATAAAGAACAGCGTAAATAACACTTGAAATTGTGCCTATCTAAAAATACTTTGAAAAAAGTATAAAAGAAAAATGTTTTAAATACACAAACACACACACATATATATAATATATATATTTATATAATAATATACTAATATAATATAATAATATATAATATAACATAAAATATAATATATATATATATATATATATATATATATATATATATATATATATATATATGGACTCTCCGTCGGTTTCGACGTATGAGGATCTGACAGCTAACTGATTCAGTTATGAAATTTTGTGCGATAATCTTAAGTGGCATTTAAGACCCGCTAGTGATTTACAAAGGAGGCCACAGGGAGCAAGTGTGAAGATTGTGAGATGAGATAACTGTTAGATTGCCGGACCTTTTAGATCTTGCTCTCGCTTCTTGAAGATGATTCAGACAAGCAGATTGAAAATTGCTGAGTCCACTAAAACGCCTTGATCTCCATTCTTCCCGCTCCAAGGCTAAGCTATATATATATATATAATTATACGCCACGTATATACGCCTCATATATATATATATATATATATATATATATATATATATATATATATATATATATATATATATTATACGCCTCGTTTATAATTTAGACACTACTTTTGTATTGAGCAGTATTTTTTTTTTTAAATAAAAACAAAAATACTAAAGAACTCCGGATTATTAACCTAACGTGTTATTTCCCATTTTTCTATATATTTGCACACTCATATACATATATATAATACATTTGCATATGTAATACCGACAGGGTTATAAGTTATTGATATTTGGAAAAGCATTCATAAAAGCATGATTCGAAAAATAATATCCGATAATGCATTTCGCCTCTAATGACTTCAGTATATGGATAACGAAAAGATGTCTTGTGTGTGTTTTTCACTTGTGTGTGTTTCGAGCAACGCCAGCTTTTGAAAAATAATATTTAATTATTTTAAACACACAAATTCATACACACATAACACATCTTTTCATTATCCATTTGCTGAAGCCATTAGAGGCGAAATGCATCATCGGATATTATTTTTCGAAACAAACTTTCCTGAACGGTTTTTTTCCAAATGTCAATAATATATATATATATATATATATTTATATATATATATATATATATGTGTGTGTGTGTGTGTGTGTGTGTGTGTGTGTGTGTGTGTGTGTGTGAAAATATATAGAAAATAGAAAGGAACTGGTTAGGTAAATAATCCAAAAGTCCCTTAGTATTTTAGTTATTATTTTTTAAAATAGTGCTCGATACAAAAGTAGAGCATAAATATAATTATTTATTTAAAAATATGATTCCAAAACGCGACATAATAAGTCTCATGTTTCAAAACAAAAGAGCCGAAAACTTCAATATAATTATTTAAATTAAATTGAGATAAAGTAAGCTCTGATCTTCAAGCGAAATTTTTTGGAATAACGTTATCTGGAAATTTTGTGTTTTAAAAATTAAAATCAAAATTTCCAGATATAACAGCTTCAAAAAAATTTCGCTTTAAGATGGAACAGAGTGTTTATTCAATTTAATAATAAATATCATATTGAAGTTTTCTTTCATTGTTTTCAAAAACATGAGAGGTAGGGTGACTTGACATTTTGGAATCATATTTTTAAATAAATAATTATATATGTATATATATATAGGGTTATTAAAAAGGAATGAACCCATTTCATGACGCGTTGCTTCAGTTCTCAAGCATCGTCATTGAATGAGTCAGTATCCATTTGAAAGAGGAGTTTCCTGAGTTTCGAATGGCTTCCACAGGGGCGCCGTAGTTGCGTCGTATCTCCGGCAATGCTCATTTGTTTGTTTACACCTGGAATGGTGAGTCCTCAGCAAAAGGCGTTCTGCGTTCTCGAGCTCGCGAAAACAAATACGGTTGTCACTGTGCAGCGTGCTTTTCGAATGCATTAATCCGCCCTCTACTAAGAACATTCGACAGTGGTTTAAACAGTTTCAAGACAGTGGGTGTCTGTGTAAAGGAAAATGTTCAGGACGACCATGGGTTGAAACCCGTGGTCGTCCTGAACAAGTGGCAAGAATCCGTGCTGTGTTTGAGGGGAATCCACGGAAGTCCATAAATCGAACTAGACATGAGCTTGCGATCTCTCAATCCAATATCTGTCGTCTGCTCTTTGTGCTTGGCCTGTCAGATCCCCAGATTTTTTTCTTGTGTGATACGTAAAATATCGCGTTTATTTCCACTGCTACTTGCTAGCCTCGATGACCTTAAACATCAAATAACAACAGCGATCAACTCAGTGGATCGTGATATGCTGATACGCGTCTAGGATGAATTCTCTTATCGCATTGATGTTGCCCGTGCTGCAGGCGGTGGTCACTTTGAACACTTCTAAGACAGGAAATAAAAGTTGATTGTAAGTAGAATACTTGTGACTTTGCTTTTCTTTATTAAAATATTGCGTAATGAAATCGGTTCATTATTTTTGAATAACCCTGTATATAACGATATTTTTCATATAGTAAGGTTCATCCTGTACAAGGCCTGGGGGACACTCAAGGTAGAGGGTTACATTAGGAGGCGATTTGTGTGTGTAGGAGTGGAAAATAACGGTTAGCACTAGACTTGAACAGGTTAAGATTATCGTGATCAGGGAAACATCCTGTTAGAAGTCGGTTACACAGGGCCGTGATTCGCAGGAAGAAGCTGTTCGAGTGGTACTTACTTCTCACCGTTGGAATACGGGGGGAATGTGGGTGGTTTGCTACTATGTAAGTGGCATGACGTATTCTTGCCGTGAAGGTTTGACTTGGCGGGACCAGGTAATGTGGTTCGTCCGAGCACTTTCCATTAAGTAGCGGTAGAGCGGCAAGAGACTTGCCACATCCCGCCTGTGGGGGGGGGGAGGTTGAAGGTTGGAGAATAATTCGGCAAGGTTCGGTGATGTTTTGGGGTTTTTGGACTCTATCAAGAGAGAAGAATGAGGTCTGGGCAGCTCCCGCCCAAATAAGACAACATTACTCCATTATATATATATATATATATATATATATATATATATATATATATATTAAAGACATTTTTTTTATGTTTAACGTTGTTATTTTATAGATACAAGTATTTAAGCAAATGCTCTGTTTATGATAAACAGTATTAAATAACATTTACCGGCCTGAATGTCCGAGAAATTTTCATAGAAAATATTCGTTCTTTGACAGGATTCGAACCTGCATCCTATACGGAACCGTCATATACGCTGACGTGCCTTACCTCTAGGCTACAAAGAACCGTTCGGTAGACAAGGTCGAATTTACTGCTTATAAACTCCAATCTTCCATGAATCTCGTACATTCATAACTGCTCTGGCGTATCAAATGTAAACAAATGA